AAGAGTGAAGTCAGAATCATCTGTCTGTTATGCGGCAAAGTTGATTTTATAATTCTGGTTGAAATGACAAAAGACGTTGGTGATAAAAAGTGCGGGAATGGTCTTAAAGCTGCGGTAAATAACTTTCAGACACACACAAAATGGTTGTATAAAACAGCTGCTTCTATCCATAGTTTCAGAAAAGTGAAAAAGAGAGGACCACACTCACTCAGCCAATCAGCTCTCAGCCCAGAGTGGCAAATACACTGCAAAAAATGATGAAATGTGAGGTAATAATAGCTTGAATTTAGTGTTTTTTATCTTAATTTGAGCACATTATGACTGTCTCCAATGGGAAAAAGCCATTTAGAATCATTTCACATGTTTTGTATATTTTTGAGACATTTAGCTAAATTTGGGCAATTTTTAACTTGTGTTTCATCACTTTTTGCAGTGTAGCGCTCGTTCACAGTTATGCTAAAGCTAACGTGTTTTTAATAACATGTTGCGACCTGATTTGTTTGCAAAAAAAATATTTTGGGGACAATGGAAAATCTGTATTATTTATGAAAAAAAGTTAGGACGACATACAAATGCATCCCCCCATCCCTTCTGTCCAAACGCACCCATCACAAACTCATAACAACGACATCATAGACAGTCTTTAAGTGATTATGATCGGGTTTTTCTGGTCACAATTCGAAGTTTCTGTCACTGTTTTGAGCACTTTGAGTTGCTTTGTGTATGGATTGTGCTATACAAATTAAACTTGCCTTGTCTATGGTCAAAAACAAGCCCTCTACTTTTTTCAGACACATTATTTTTCCTCATGTTTAGTAGTTTAAAAACGCAACAAAAATGAAAGAAAATTAAAGTTTCCACAGAGGTCTTAATGCTGAATTGTGTTTTTTCTCTGAATAATGGTGAGTCTATGATCGTAATCAGTAAAAATGCACCGGTCTCTACAGCACAGCCCCATAAACAGCTAAAGGCAACTTAGTCATAAGATCAAACATGTTACGAAACCAGGAAAAAGGAAGTGATCATTTAACTGTAAATAATGTCATCCTCTTCATATTCTTTTACTTTTGAATGCTCTGGAAACAGCAGCAAGTCCAAAGTATCTAATAATAATAATAATAATAAGGATGGATTTGATCTGTAACGCACCTCATACAAGCAAACACATCTTAAGGTGCTAAAGCAAGTAAAAAACACAAAACATCAGGAAAAAATAGACAAATCTCTGAAGGTGTTGTTTTGATCCAGAGTAGAGAGGATTCACGCTCCCAAACAAGCAGCTCAAGCGTAAATCCACTGGAAGAACGATAACTGTATGAAATATGCTAATAAAGCACTCAGCGGCTGCTCCGCCATGTGACCCGTCCTGCTCCACCATGTGACCCGTCCTGCTCCACCATGTGACCCGTCCTGCTCCACCCAGCGTCTGCTCCGCCATGTGACCCGTCCTGCTCCACCCAGCGTCTGCTCCACCAAGTGACCCGTCCTGCTCCACCCAGCGGCTGCTACGCCATGTGACCCGTCCTGCTCCACCCAGCGGCTGCTCCGCCATGTGACCCGTCCTGCTCCACCATGTGACCCGTCCTGCTCCGCCATGTGACCCGTCCTGCTCCGCCATGTGACCCGTCCTGCTCCACCATGTGACCCGTCCTGCTCCACCATGTGACCTGTCCTGCTTCACCATGTGACCCGTCCTGCTCCACCATATGACCCGTCCTGCTCCACCCAGCGGCTGCTCCACCATGTGACCCGTCCTGCTCCACCATGTGACCCATCCTGCTCCACCCAGCGTCTGCTCCACCATGTGACCCATCCTGCTCCACCCAGCGTCTGCTCCACCATGTGACCCGTCCTGCTCCACCATGTGACCCGTCCTGCTCCACCCAGCGTCTGCTCCACCATGTGACCTGTCCTGCTCCACCCAGCGGCTGCTCCACCATGTGACCCGTCCTGCTCCACCATGTGACCTGTCCTGCTCCACCATGTGACCCGTCCTGCTCCACCATGTGACCTGTCCTGCTCCACCATGTGACCCGTCCTGCTCCACCATGTGACCCGTCCTGCTCCACCCAGCGTCTGCTCCGCCATGTGACCCGTCCTGCTCCACCATATGACCCGTCCTGCTCCGCCATGTGACCCGTCCTGCTCCACCATATGACCCGTCCTGCTCCACCATGTGACCCGTCCTGCTCCACCCAGCGGCTGCTCCACCATGTGACACGTCCTGCTCCACCATGTGACCCGTCCTGCTCCACCCAGCGTCTGCTCCACCATGTGACCCGTCCTGCTCCACCCAGCGTCTGCTCTACCCTGTGACCTGTCCTGCTCCACCATGTGACCCGTCCTGCTCCACCATGTGACCCGTCCTGCTCCACCATGTGACCCGTCCTGCTCCACCTCTGCTGCCTTTTCATTTCTATTGTTAGCTACTTATAGAATGATGTGTTTACTTGTTTGGTTTGTATATAGATGTGTTTCAGTGAACACTAAAGCAACTATCTATATTTATAATAATGCAAAGTATAAACAGCACTTTTGATGATGCTCAAAGACATTATTTAGGACGAACAATCTTAACATACATGATTTTGTTTTTGTAACATGTGACCTAAGCTCTAATGTACATAATGACCAAAGATACTGTATAAAATTCTACTAATAGTGTTATTGTTAATTGACTCTGTACAAGGTGGAACTTCTGATACTGATGCAAAGAAAACGATTGACTAACTGTTGTAATTACACAATGAAAGAAATATCAAACAATCCTCTTCAGCACAAACCCAAACGTCACCAACGCACAGCTCTGAGCACAAACAGCGGATTATCACGTCACTTTGAATGTATTTTAGTGTAGTTTTACTGTTAATTTATCTTGTGGCAGAGGAGAAGAGGCTAAAGCTAGGCTAAATGCTAAAGCTAGGCTAAATGCTAAATGCCTCTCTCAGTCGGGTGCATTACATACGTCACAGTAAACTCAGATCCAATCGTTTCAATCTGTAAAAGGAGTTAGCCCCTCCCACCTGTTCACGGAGTCAATGGAGCAAATCCACACCTTAGTACGAAATGAAATGAGTAGAATGGTGTGGTGAGACCGGGCTTGTGTGATTGCAGACATTACAAACTGTCTCTCTAACCTCATAATTCCAACCATTTTTTGACTCAATTATTAGTATTTTTTGTGGTACTGGTACTGATACTGGTTTAGCCTTTAGTTTCTACAAAAATATAGATTGTAACTGAAATATAAGTGTTTGATATATAAGTGCTCGTGAGTTCATATTTTAACTGTTTTAAAATGTACTTTTTACTGGTGTGTAAACTGGCCAAAAAGGCACCTAAGAAATAGAAAGTATTATTATTATTCTTAGTTGTACAACAATCTCTATAATGTTTGGCGGTTGGCATAAATAGCCCTGGTCTAAATTAACTAAAAACACAATATATTCTAAGATGAAATCACACAAACAGGCGCTACATTCCTTACAGACGATTATGTAACGTCCATGAAGCTCATTGTGCCTAAAATTATCGACGTGTAAGATTCACAGGAACAGAACCCACTGAGGTGATCCACATATTCTGCCCGGAGCTGCTCCACTTGGAAGTCTCTCAGACACATCGTAACGAGTCCGAGTTTATGAACGAGAACACACCATTTACTGCAGCAAACGATGATGAAAAATAAGACAAAAACGGATCAATTTTGGCTAAATGTGTCTTAATTTGAGCACATAAAGACTGAGAATTAAACAAGATTTTCCAATGAGACAAATCAAAATTGTCTTAAAGCAACAGTTCTTAAAATCAGACTAAATGGCTTTGTCCCATTGGCTAATCTGGTTTTAGGACAGTCAGAATGTACAAAAATAAGATAAAGAACACTTGATTCAAGCTATTTTTTCCCTCATATTTTATCATTTTTTTGCTGTGTGGTTTCGAAGAGATCTTGGTTTGAGTTTGGGTCATGCGTAAACAAACAATGGTCACTGAATTATAGAGTTTGGAACTTTCATATCTCACCAAATATGCAGAGTTTGAAGCAATACAAGTCGGCGAACGAAAATAACGATGAAGCCAAAGCAAAAATTCAGACAAGAAGACTGGAATAACTAAGCTAACAGCGTCTTTCCCCTGTCGCTAACGGCAACAGCATCCGTCAATCACTCGCCAATCCTCACTTGGCACTGGCACACATCAAGCTTCCTACGGCAAGCTCCATCCAAGCAGCAGCTTCATTCACGCTGCAACCCTCCTCCTCCCCATCTCCGCCTGGTTCCGGGGTCCGTTCATGGTGTGAACTTTTTGACCATTTTGACCTGATTTTATTTGACTTTGCTTGTTCTCTTGTAGTTAGAGTTGGATTCCAGTCTTTCCCCACTTGTTGACCGTCTATTGTCTAGTTTTTCAGTTCTGGATGTTTTTTGCGTTGTGACACTCTGGGTTTGGAATTAATTGAATCACATTCAATTTTCAGTCCTGCATTTTGGGTTCCCTTTTTCTGGATTTTCCCACGTGACAGTTCCAGCTCCTTCCTCTTTCTCCTACAGCTCCCACCACCAGCATCTAGGCCCCGGGGGGATTTCAACTCATAATCCCTTTCCTCATTCTGCGATTGTGCAGTGCTCTGCCGGGGTCTAAGGCCAAATCCTAACCACATTCTGTACGTCAGAAATAAATGTAATCTTGAAAATATTGTCCTCAGAGTCATATGTGTAATGTATGTAGAGTCAGATTACAACCAAACAACAGACAATTCTAATAATTCCCATGTTTTGTTGGTTCGAGTCTTTCCAGATTGAAATAACCAAATGTGACCGGTCAATATCGTGATTACCCGAGAGGCGTATGGAATATGGACAAACTAACAAAGCCGCAAAGCTCAGATAAAGCAGGAGTGAAAGTGACGTAAAGCTGCGAAGCCGGGATTAAACCAGGACTCGTCTTGTTCATCCCACAGATTACTCAAAGCAAAAGGATAATCTTGAGTGTAATCTCACCTTGTAAACCTGTCCGTAGGTGCCATTTCCAACCAGTTCGACCAGCTCGAAGATCCCGGCTGGATCCTGCAACAGAAACACAGAAACCCCATCATTACACACAGACTGGAATCAGAAAGTGTTGAAACCAGGGCAACGAAGAAGACCGGTTTAAACCATGGTTGTATGTCTCGTAACGACACACACACACATTTACACAACATTCACACAACATTCTGATGCCCCGATATTGACCAAGATTTGACAGAGATTTGTGAGAAAAACAAGACACAAGATTTGGTTCATGATTTTGAAGAGAATTAAAAACAGTATAATGATCACAGAGCAGCGACATCATATACAGTATTGAATTCATTTTTTTTTTGTCTCTTACTTTGTCAAACTGGAACAGGATCTCACGAGCTCATATTTCACTTGTGCACGATCTAGATCTTAAGACACATGATATTTTCCTGTTCTTATAAACTAAGGAAGGAGTTATAATTTCAATTACAGGGATTCCAAACCAGTTTTAGGTATGTTACTTCACACTAGGGCTGGGCGATATGGCAAAAAAGTAAAATCTCGATTTTATTTCCTGCTTTGGACGATGTCGATTTTAAATCGATTTTCAATAAAGACAGACTTTTCCCTTAAAATATTTTTTATCTTCTCGCTCAATATTTAAGTTTCAAAACTATTTTTTATTTGTTTCCCCCAATACATATTATAAAAGTCTTGTACAGACTTTGCTGATATCGCAAGTATAATTGATGTGCAGCTGGAACTCTCACAATATCCCTCATTCGATTTCACGATTTTCACATTTTTCACAAATTCGATTTTTTCAAAAGCCGATTAATTGCCAAAATTCGATTTATTGCCCAGCCATACTTCACACCTGCACTAAATTCATCCACATGATGAAGCAAACTGGGAATATTGAGCTCTGACTGTCTTTCTCAATCCTGTTTCCTGGGTTTGGAAACAGAACCTGATGATGAGGTCGAGGACTTCCAAAATGTGCAATAAAGAACCTGGTGTGTCACTAGCTGCGTTTCCATTGAGCATCAAATTTCGAAATTTGAATTTGCGCATCATAAAATGTCTAATGGAAACGCGCAAATTTCGAATAAACCACAGTTTTTCGATAAAAAGTTAATGCGCTTAAAATCTGTGGTTTTTTGGACGTATCGGAATTAAGTTTTTCGCAAAACGGCAATGGAAACACTTATTTCGATATAGCGGAGGAAGCCGAGCTGCTTTATTCAGTGAGTTTTGGCTGCGCTTTGTGTGGAGACTTGGGAGATACGTGGGAGAGGCATGGGGGAGAGACGGGGAAGAGACGGGGGAGAGGCATGGGGGAGAGACGGGGAAGAGACGGGGGAGAGGCATGGGGGAGAGACGGGGAAGAGACGGGTGAGAGGCATGGGGGAGAGACGGGTGAGAGGCATGGGGGAGAGACGGGTGAGAGGCATGGGGGAGAGACGGGGGAGAGGCATGGGGAGAGACGGGGGAGAGACGGGGGAGAGGCATGGGGAGAGACGGGGAAGAGACGGGGGAGAGGCATGGGGGAGAGACGGGGAAGAGACGGGTGAGAGGCATGGGGGAGAGACGGGTGAGAGGCATGGGGGAGAGACGGGTGAGAGGCATGGGGGAGAGACGGGGGAGAGGCATGGGGAGAGACGGGGGAGAGGCATGGGGAGAGACGGGGGAGAGGCATGGGGGAGAGACGGGGGAGAGGCATGGGGGAGAGACGGGGGAGAGACGGGTGAGAGGCATGGGGGAGAGACGGGGAGAGGCATAGGGAAGAGACGGGTGAGAGGCATGGGGGAGAGACGGGTGAGAGGCATGGGGGAGAGACGGGGGAGAGGCATGGGGGAGAGACGGGGGAAGAGACGGGTGAGAGGCATGGGGGAGAGACGGGGAGAGGCATGGGGGAGAGACGGGTGAGAGGCATGGGGGAGAGACGGGTGAGAGGCATGGGGGAGAGACGGGGGAGAGGCATGGGGGAGAGACGGGGGAGAGGCATGGGGGAGAGACGGGGGAGAGACGGGGGAGAGACGGGGGAGAGGCATGGGGGAGAGACGGGGGAGAGGCATGGGGGAGAGACGGGGAAGAGACGGGGGAGAGACGGGGAAGAGACGGGGGAGAGGCATGGGGGAGAGGGGCAAGACCCGTGTCTATGGTCCGCACTCGGTACATGACCACGCGCGTTCGCGGAGCTGTCAAAGCAGCCACAGTTTCTCCCGGGGTCAGAGAGGATGAGAGCCGCAGCAGAAGTCAAGACATTAATATATCTCACGTAAATCAAAGTGTTGTTTACTTCTGTTGCCATGTTGACGTACTAGTGAATAAACGCGCGAAAATAGTGTATACTTATTTGAATATGTCTTAATGGCCGTTTTTGCGAATTAAAGGTTTTTCGAATTTTGAAATGTATCGAAAAAGTTTTTGCGCATTATTCAATGGAAACGCAGCTACAGAGTCCCAGCGCCTCAGACTGCAACATGTACCAAACCATAGACTGTATACAGATGTAGTCACGCTTATCTCCGTCGTTCTAACTAATGGGCCAAAAATTGGGCTCTCATGGAGTGATTCAAAATGGCCGCGGGGAAAATGTGAAAAAACACATCTGTGCATGCGTAAGCTGCACGAGCTCCATTCATTTAAACAAGAGACTTCAAAAATTCACAGCGACTAAACTAGATTGGTCCAGAACACCCCCCTCAGCATTGACACACATGTGGAACGGAGCTTTGGGCCAAGAGACAACTTTTGGACCATCCTGTAAAGGTGTTTTCCAGAGGTAAGAAGATGCTATATGTTAGCATTGGCTAATTCTTATTCCGGGTCCACCCCCACAGGCCCGGGGTGGTATTGCAGCATGTCAGCGCACGTCATTTTGTCCACTTTTGAGCCGGGACCCGCCCACACTGGTACATGGGGTCAAAGTCCCATAAAACAAATATCTTGACCCATGGGATGAAATGTGATGAGTATTAGAACTGCAGAGCCATAAGGAAATATTGGATTATTCATTTATTGTTCAGGAAGTGTGTTTTCTCTTTGAAGGAAGTTTGTTTTTGTCTGTGAGTCTGTTAAAACATGTTTTCACTTTGATAGAGCCATACAAAAATATTGGATTATACTCATTTAATCATTTAATAAAATATGGTAAACTGTGTTAGGTCTTAGTTCAACAGGTTAAATGCATCATTTTAATATGTTTTAATAAACATTGAACCAGTCAGGCCTGTTGCAAGTCTGTTTTTTTGGACTCTTTTGCTTTGACAATCCAATATACAGAAGTTTACACTATCACTTGCTTCTTTGTTATGCTAAAGTTAGAGATGTTTCATTTATATTTAATCTTGTGCTGTGTGCTCTTTATCCCTACTGTTCTGTAACTTGTGATGCAACACTGACATTTCCCCCACTGAGGGATGAATCTCTGTATGATTTCTTAATCTTAATCTTACTTTTCTTCATTTCAAACTCAGCTACGCAGTCATTTGTGCCCATTAAATCTTGTACTTCACAACAAAGAAGACAGAATGTTGAAGAAAAGGCCAAGGTTGTGTGTATGTGTACATTAAAGGAGCTATACCCGTTTCTTAGTTTGAATGTTTAGCCCCGCCCCCAACTCGCTCAGAGGCTTCTCATTTCCCCTACGCTCTCCTCCCACGGAGCCATCTTAACCATCTTACTCAGACACCTAAAACCAGTCACCACTTAAGGACTTATTAGTCTAAAGCTAATTCGAAAGTAGGATTGTTACTTCCAGTTTTATCATTTAACATCTAGTTTTATTTGCGATCTGATGCTAACATTAGCATTAGCCCAACTTAAGCTGTACAACACCCATGAAATGGTACAAAAGCAACACACTGCTAACAAAATATATAACTGAAAGATTACCGCTAGTTTCACGTCCGAATGTAATCAGAGCGCAGATAGTCCGGGCGCAGATAGTCCGAGCGCAGATAGTCCGGGCGCAGATAGTCCGAGCGCAGATAGTCCGGGCGCAGATAGTCCGGGCGCAGATAGTCCGGGCGCAGATAGTCCGGGCGCAGATAGTCCGGGCGCAGATAGTCCGGGCGCAGATAGTCCGGGCGCAGATAGTCCGGGCGCAGATAGTCCGGGCGCAGATAGTCCGAGCGCAGATAGTCCGGGCGCAGATAGTCCGGGCGCAGATAGTCCGGGCGCAGATAGTCCGGGCGCAGATAGTCCGGGCGCAGATAGTCCGGGCGCAGATGGTCCGGGCGCAGATGGTCCGGGCGCAGATGGTCCGGGCGCAGATGGTCCGGCGCAGATGGTCGGGCGCAGATGGTCCGGGCGCAGATAGTCCGAGCGCAGATAGTCCGGGCGCAGATAGTCCGGGCGCAGATAGTCCGGGCGCAGATAGTCCGGGCGCAGATAGTCCGGGCGCAGATAGTCCGGGCGCAGATGGTCCGGGCGCAGATGGTCCGGGCGCAGATGGTCCGGGCGCAGATGGTCCGGGCGCAGATGGTCCGGGCGCAGATGGTCCGGGCGCAGATGGTCCGGGCGCAGATAGTCCGGGCGCAGATAGTCCGGGCGCAGATAGTCCGGGCGCAGATAGTCCGGGCGCAGATAGTCCGGGCGCAGATAGTCCGGGCGCAGATAGTCCGGGCGCAGATAGTCCGGGCGCAGATAGTCCGAGCGCAAATAGTCCGAGCGCAAATAGTCCGAGCGCAGATAGTCCGAGCTTAGATAGTCCGAGATTAGATAGTCCGAGTTTAGATAGTCCGAGTTTAGATAGTCCGAGCTTAGATAGTCCGAGCTTAGATAGTCCGAGATTAGATAGTCCGAGTTTAGATAGTCCGAGTTTAGATAGTCCGAGTTTAGATAGTCCGAGTTTAGATAGTCCGAGCTTAGATAGTCCGAGTTTAGATAGTCCGAGCTTAGATAGTCCGAGTTTAGATAGTCCGAGGCGGTCCCGCAGGTCTCTCCCATAGACCAGTCTCTCCAGAGGATACGATGTAAGCTAGCTCTGTTCAGGGCTTGGTTTCTTCTTTGATCATGTTGTGGCTTTAGTTCCTCTTCTCTTCCTCACTGTTGTGTGGTTTGGGCTGTTTTGCTGTGTCTGCAGTTACAGCCAGAGGAGTTATAGCCACTTATGCTAACATGCTACTGTGTTTAGCAGCGCTGTAGAGGCTAGAGGACGCAGCCTCGTTCTGTGATTGGAGGAGAGCGGGCGTCACGCTAAAAGTCATCTCAGCACTTTGAATGGAATAAACTCTTGCTTATGCTGAATCAATGAGCTCCAGTTTTCAATAAAATTACAGTTTTTAATACAACTTGTATGTAGTTATACGGAAAATAAAATCGGGTATACAGTAGCTTCTTTAAACAGACATTAAACCAGTCCTGAACAACTATATACCAGACCAAAGAACCATATACAGCCGTGTACATATTTGAGTATAATTTAACACCTGTGTGCAGAGGCTGGAATGCTGCTGGGATTTGACCCTGTGCTCTCTCTTGATCCTGTGCTCTCTCTTGACCCTGTGCTCTCTCTTTATCCTGTGCTCTCTCTTGATCCTGTGCTCTCTCTTGATCCTGTGCTCTCTCTTGACCCTGTGCTCTCTCTTGACCCTGTGCTCTCTCTTGACCCTGTGCTCTCTCTTGACCCTGTGCTCTCTCTTGACCCTGTGCTCTCTCTTGATCCTGTGCTCTCTCTTGACCCTGTGCTCTCTCTTGACCCTGTGCTCTCTCTTGACCCTGTGCTCGCTCTTGCAAACCTGTCAACTTTCACCTGCCTTCAAATAAAAAATCCTCATTATCCTTCGCTTCAGGGCCACGTTTCCCACAGACAGTCACAGAAGTGTGGCCTTCAGGAAGTGTCCCGAACTGGACCGTTCTAGTTCCATCATGTGCAGAATGTGGACTGTAGAACCACACGTGTCTGATGTACAGATGTAAACATACTGCTGCTAATGTACAGGTGTAAACATACTGCTGCTAATGTACAGGTGTAAACATACTGCTGCTAATGTACAGGTGTAAACATACTGCTGCTAATGTACAGATGTAAACATACTGCTGCTACTATACAGATGTAAACATACTGCTGCTAATGTACAGGTGTAAACATACTGCTGCTAATGTACAGATGTAAACATACTGCTGCTAATGTACAGGTGTAAACATACTGCTGCTACTATACAGATGTAAACATACTGCTGCTAATGTACAGATGTAAACATACTGCTGCTAATGTACAGATGTAAACATACTGCTGCTAATGTACAGATGTAAACATACTGCTGCTAATGTACAGATGTAAACATACTGCTGCTAATGTACAGATGTAAACATACTGCTGCTAATGTACAGATGTAAACATACTGCTGCTACTATACAGATGTAAACATACTGCTGCTAATGTACAGATGTAAACATACTGCTGCTAATGTACAGATGTAAACATACTGCTGCTAATGTACAGGTGTAAACATACTGCTGCTAATGTACAGATGTAAACATACTGCTGCTAATGTACAGATGTAAACATACTGCTGCTAATGTACAGGTGTAAACATACTGCTGTTAATGTACAGATGTAAACATACTGCTGCTAATGTACAGATGTAAACATACTGCTGCTAATGTACAGATGTAAACATACTGCTGCTACTATACAGATGTAAACATACTGCTGCTAATGTACAGATGTAAACATACTGCTGCTAATGTACAGATGTAAAAATACTGCTGCTAATGTACAGGTGTAAACATACTGCTGCTAATGTACAGATGTAAACATACTGCTGTTAATGTACAGGTGTAAACATACTGCTGCTAATGTACAGATGTAAACATACTGCTGCTAATGTACAGATGTAAACATACTGCTGCTAATGTTCAGATGTAAACATACTGCTGCTAACATGTACAGGTGTAAACATACTGCTGCTAATGTTCAGATGTAAACATACTGCTGCTAATGTACAGATGTAAACATACTGCTGCTAACATGTACAGGTGTAAACATACTGCTGCTAATGTTCAGATGTAAACATACTGCTGCTAACATGTACAGGTGTAAACATACTGCTGCTAATGTACAGATGTAAACATACTGCTGCTAATGTAGAAAAGTCTTTAATCCGGGTTGCCAGAACTCAAGATAATCTCACTGGTTAAGTAACATGTGGCCACAGGAATAAAAAAGGTTTTATGATTGGACATTATTATTATTATTATTATTATCATTGGAGTTATCGGATTTTCTAAAACCTAAAATGACTGAACAGAAAATGCCAATTTCACGTTTGCCGCCCACTCTCCCTGTTGTGACAAAGAGAAGAAAATGCTGGATGTTTGTTTTGGTGGAGAGGAGGAGAGGAGTGGTTTTGAGTTGGTGCTACGGCTAAGCTAACAAAATTGCTTACTGCACCTTTAATATCTAAAACCGGGATTTCTCTTTGTGAAAAAAGTGTTGGTTATAGATTTGCTGTTGACAAAACTCTTGTCTATTCAGATATTGTGGTCTCCGCTGGATTTGTCTGCACATCTGGCAACCTGAGTCAGGGAGAGTGCAGGTCCACTTTTGGCCAGATTTTGACATACTTCTCCTTTAAATGAGGTCATTTGACGCAGCTGAAGTTGGCTGAATGGCTATGGGTGGAAACTGGTATTTTTTGCTAAAATCAGAACATGACTTATTTTCTTTTTGCAGGACTTAATGTTTATTTGTGCGTTTTCCCAAATAATAAATACATTCAAATATCATTAGCCTCATGATCCCAAATACGAGTTGGTTTAGTCAAAAGTCAATGACAAAGGCTCAGAGCTTTACAATGAGGAGTAACATGTCTGTATTGGCGGAGAGGAAGTTGGCTGGATGACACTAACACGGTTTATGATGGCACTGGTTTATTTTGGGTTTAGCAAAGCAGCGGACCACAGAAAATGACGCAGAGGGCCGCAGTTGGCTCCTGGGCCTTAGTTTGGGATGTTTTCCTTGGACGGTTTGAGGTTAAAATAAAAAGTATTCTCTGTATTCTCAAACCAGTGAGGACTGAAGCAACACTGATCCTCAACAAAACAATGGAATTTCATCAATCTGATTTCATCTTTGTGAGACATATAAAGCATTTCTAATATTACAAAAATGAATGAAAGTAAGTCAAGTTTATTTGTATAGCGCCTTTCACAGACTAGGATCACAAAGTGCTTCACGTTTAAAACATACAATACATTAAAAACAATGTAGGTCATACTGTCTGCAGGGCTCTCTCAAACCTCAGGACAAATGTACGGGTAAGTATGAACCTGAACCTGGACCTTAAACTGGACCTAGACCTGGACCTGGACCTAGACCTGGACCTGGACCTGGACCAGCGCTCTGATGGAGGAGCAGACAGTATCAGGTCTCTCATGTCTGCACCATGTGTTTTCATCATGGAGCTGTTGTCTTTATGGAGAGAGCAGCACGAGGGGGAAGAAGAAGAGGAAGAAGAGGAGGAAGAGGACGATGAGGAAGAAGAGGTTGAAGATTGTAACACGAGGAAGAGAGTGATGAAGCCAATCTGAGGTCTGCGGCGCGCTCACGTGACGCTCCTGTTCCTGTGTTTGGTCTCCTCACATGGCACGCGCACATTCCTACACTGTCTCCTCGTGCACGCGCGCGGTGCTGATGCTGCTGTCGCCATCATCACATCGCGAAATGGCGGCACGCGCTCCTGTGGCGGCTCTGCGCGTGCGTGTGCCGGTGAGCCGCGTGTGAAAGTGAGGACAGCGTCAAGTGCCACTTCTGCCCCACGTCCCCCACACGCGCGCCTCACGTCACGTCACGCGCCATTGTTTAGAAAGAAACAGCAACAACAAACAAGCAGTGACACCGTGGGCTTCAGTCTCTGTGCACCGCTGCATGTGCGTCAGTATGAGAGTCTGTGCGCCAGTGTGAGTGTCTGTGCGTCAGTGTGAGAGTCTGTGCGCCAGTGTGAGTGTCTGTGCGTCAGTGTGAGTGTCTGTGCGTCAGTATGAGTGTCTGTGCGTCAGTGTGAGTGTCTATGCGTCAGTATGAGAGTCTGTGCGCCAGTGTGAGTGTCTGTGCGTCAGATTGAGTGTCTGTGCGCCAGTGTGAGTGTCTGTGCGCCAGTGTGAGTGTCTGTGCGTCAGATTGAGTGTCTGTGCGTCAGTGTGAGTGTCTGTGTGTCAGTAAAAGCGTCAGTATGAGTGCAGATCCTGGTCACAGGTCACGCGCGCGGACAGACGCTCATTGTCCACAAACCCGGAGTCTCCACGCGGCTCTGCACAGTTCAGCACGACCCCTTTAATGCGTTTATGAAGCGCTTCTGCCAACACCATAAACACAGTGCACCATCTCCAACTGCCTATAGCCCAGCACCACTGACCCATTACTGCTGTCAGCACCAATCCGGAACTAAACCAGGCCAAAGTAGGCCTAACTTAATCAGGTCTAAGCCGACAGAGGGGCTTTGCGAGCAGTGGACACAATCCAGGTGTGAAAGTGGGCCAAAACACTGATCCATCCTCACACACTATACTAACCCGCGATAATAACAGACTGTGACATGAGGACCTGCTTCACACATGCGGACTAACATATATGCACAAACCCGGGCTAAATAAAGAAGTTATATAGGCCTGCTTCAACCAAAGGGTCTATCATTACTTTAAGAAAAACTCAAGACATGGGTCGGTCTATCAGAACTGCAGGATTCAGGGCAATGGGACTAAAACATGTATTATTATGAGACCATTCTAAAGCAGAGGTCTACAGCAGACAACTGAAGACCTATTCCGGGACCAAACCAGGATACAGCCTGACATAGCCCAGTGTGAGGAGGACTCAAGCGCACTCAGCCGCGCCGTTTTAATGGACGCGGCTGCATCCTGGAGGTGTTCGCTGGGTCTAATTGGAAACCAGTGCACATCAGTGAGAAGCCATATCTGTGTCTGCACTATTCTATTTTACACAACCTTACGCACAGACACGCACAGACACGCACACACACACACACAAACAGGCAGACACAAGCCCGACGTGAAGCAGCTACAGCAAGGGCAGACAGGGGAGGGTGGATTAGGTTTTTGAGGTGAGGTGAGGTGGGGGTAGGGGTGTGGGGAGGGTGAGACATGGAGACGTTTGATGGTCGTGTGTGTGGATCGTACCCGCAGCGCAGATAGGTCGATTTCGTCCAGACTCCTCGCTGGGGAGTCGCTCGCCATCGTGCTCTCTGCAGATATCAAGATGGACGCAGGAAAAACCATCGAAAATTCTCCTCAGAATGAAGATCCAAGGCTCCAGTCCCCCTCCACCGCCTTCGCCGCCTCCCGCGCGTTACACTGCTGCTTCTATGGCGTAAAAGCGACGCGTTCATCCGAAATAAAAATAGTGATATAGTCCGAGTCTGCTTCTGCTGCTGCTGCTGTTCCTGCTGCTGCTCCTGCTACATGGCGAGTCCACTGCTGAGGTCTTCTTTCGCTGCTACATTATTCTTCCACAAACGCGTGCGGCTCAGTGCGTCTCTCCTGGACGCCCGTGTGCGCTTGGGAGTGGCTTTCTTCTTGTGACGAGGCTCGGGGCCGGTGTATTGTGCCTTCAGAGCAACCTGCAAGAGCGGAGCGGAGTGCAGGCATGGGCAAGCTACGGCCCGCGGGTCATGAGCGGCCCTCAGAGCAGCTGAGAGCGGTCCGCGGTGTCCTGCCTCCATAGGTTCATGTTGTAGAGGTGTGTTGGGGTTGGAGCAAATGCAATCAGAGTCAGAATAAGAATCAAAAATATTGTTATTGCCAACAGGAAGTCACAAACTAAAAGGCAGAGGAGTTATAAATGAGACATACAGTCATGCATAACAAATCTTCATGATGTTTTTAACAATATCTTAACATTTCTACTTCATACAGGTACACACAATAGACATTTAACAGTCCAGGGTAATGTGACAGCCGTATAAGAAGTCAGTGAGTTACGGGAACTCTACTCTACAGGAAAGATGATATTTCTGAAAGAAATTAAGATCACTTTTATTCGTCCCACGCTAAAGAAATGTGTGTCGCTTCACAAGTTACAGAACAGAAGGAATGACACACAACACAAAATAAGATAAATGAATATTAGGAACTTAGAAATTAAATGCAACATGCACTGGGACGGTTTGCAGCCGAGTGTGAAGCGGCTGGGATGAGAATCAGCACCTCCAAATCCGAGGCCATGGTGCTCGACCGGAAAAAGGTGCCTTGCCCTCTCCAGATGGGTGGAGAGGTCCTTCCTCAAGTGGAGGAGTTCAAGTATCTCGGGGTCTTGTTCACGAGTGAGGGAAGGATGGAGCGTGAGATTGACAGGCGGATCGGTGCAGCGTGCGCAGTGATGCAGTCGCTGTATCGGACCGTTGTGGTGAAGAGGGAGCTGAGCCGAAAGGCAAAGCTCTTGATTTACCGGTCAATCTTCGTTCCCTCCCTCACCTATGGTCATGAGCTTTGGGTAATGACCGAAAGAACGAGATCGCGGATACAAGCGGTCGAAATGAGCTTCCTCCGCAGAGTGGCTGCTCCCTTAGAGATAGGGTGAAGAGCTCAGTCACACGGGAGGAGCTCGGAGTAGAGCCGCTGCTTCTCCACGTCGAGATGAACCAGTTGAGGTGGCTCGGGCATCTGTTCCGGATGCCTCCTGGACGCCTCCCTGGGGAGGTGTTCCGGGCACGTCCCACCGGGAGGAGACCCCGGCGAAGACCCAGGACACGCTGGAGGGACTATGTCTCTCAGCTGGCCTGGGAACGCCTTGAGGTCCCCCCGTACGAGCTGGAGGAAGAATGTGTGGATAGGGAAGTTTGGGCGTCTCTGCTTAGACTGCTGCCCCCGCGACCCGGCAACGGATGAAGCAGAAGAAAATGGATGGATGAATGGATAGAAATTAAATAAAATATCCTTCGTTAGAAAATGTCCATGAAGAATTATTAAGATAGAAGTACATATAAATACTTGCATGTTTACACCATAGACCACCACTTTAGCCACGTTAGCCGCGGGGCAGGAAAATGTTGAAAAAAACGCATTAGGGCCTGTTAGCTGCACTAGCCCTATTCCTCTGAGTAGTGCCTTCAAAAGTCCACAGCGGCTAAACAAGAATGGTCCAACTATACTCCCCTTAGCATTGACAGCATCTGGAACGTAGCGTTGGGCCAAGACCATCCTGTAAAGATGTTTTTTCGAGGGGAAAGAAGGCACCATACAAAAGCATTGGATAATTCTGTTTCCGGGTACACCCCCACCAGCTAGGGCTGATATTGCAGCGTGTCAGCGCACATGCTCATGGACCTTTTTGAGAAGATGGAATTTTGTGACAGTTTACAATTACAATTACAATAATATTTGCTTTAAATTAAAATTTGATGTCACCCGAGTTACCAGGATTTTTTTTTCAGCAGCTCTGCACCAGAAATATATGCTATGCTAGCTTTGGAAAGAGTGATGTCGCATGAACACTCCCTGTTGATACTGGTGCTGGAGTGTTGACAGAAAAAGCAGAAAATCACTGAAATATTTAGTGATTAATTAACAATATTTATTTAACAGGTAAATTGAGAGTTTGATTTGGCTTCATTTTCAATATCGACACCAAAATCTTCAGCCAGGCGCCTTCATAGCTTCTCATTTTTGCAGTTTTCAAATAGAAATTCTCAGTTGGTTTGTGCAACATTTGGTCGACTGAAGAACCATCGTCTAAAAGACTAAATATTGACAGTTTTTTAGTGTGTCCTCGTGGTAGCAACAGCCGAGTTTCTAAGCGTCAATCAGGAGCGTTGCCTTCCCCACATTCACTCGCTAGCCAAAGCCAAATATGGCGTCAGAAGGCTCCTGATTGGTCAGTTGTTAAAGCACATTTCTGGATTTTCAAATACAACATCACAATAAAAACACCAGGATCACAGCGAGCCCACAGCACTGAGCAAGAGGCCAGAGAGAGATGGAAAAAAACTGGGTCCATGAGCACTTCCCTAGTAGGTGTCATTGAGCTATGGCGTAAATATGGACATAGAAATCTACACAAACACAACCTCAAACATTCTCTGTCCTGGGATAAAAAGCTTTTACTCGTTTCTGGTCTCAACACACTTATCGTGCAATGTCCTTTTCAAATAAATAATAATAAATTCAAATAAAGCAAACCATCTGTGTGTGTACCTGTAGATCAGAGCGGCCCCTGGGAGCCTGTCTGCCCCACAGTGAGTGCAGCACAGAGACAGCGGGGGGCCACACCTAAAGGTTGTGATGTCATGAACAATAACCGACATCACGGTTATTATAGTCAGCTTTGGTTTAACTCTGTAGGAGAAAAATAATCTCTGCTCTTTTGAGAAAGCAGTATTTAACGACCAAAGTCAGACTTCTTTTACATGACCTTTGAACTTTGTGTAAAACTTTAGCGTTTCCTGTTTTAGGATGCGATAAAACGTCTCACATCCATAACTTTAATTGTGTTTCCTTTTCATAGAATTACATATTTTTGACCTTATGATCCTGTGGCATCATCTTTATCATGTATTTTATCATAAATATTTAATTTGAAGCAGTTTGAATATTCACCACTAGTAAAATTTGCTGGATAAGAATAGTTAGACCAAAGGGGAGGGGCCTCTATCTATTATTGACCTTTAACCTGTTGCACACTTCTGTCTTTTGCACAAACCGAGTGATTCTATCTGTGCCTGATGTGACACGTACATTTCTCTAGTGTGAGATCTATAAAGTTTGTCTTATCAAGGTTTAGAATGAATTTCGTCCAAGCAGGAAGCTGCTCTAAAACATTTGAAAAGAAACTGCCCTCCCCTTTAAATCGGACAGATATGTTAAATACTGTTCAACTGTAAATTCATATTCTGCCACCAGGGGCAGAGGTTGAATTTGTTTTTGTTTTTTACCAGCATTTGAAAATGACCAGCTGCAAACACAGTCTAGATCAAGAGATAGCGAGATATAGAGACATAGAGACAGAGACAAAGACAGAGACAGAGAAATAGAGAGATAGAGACATAGAGAGAGATAGAGACATAGAGAGAGAGAGAGAGATAGAGACATAGAGACAGAGACATGGAGATAGAGAGACAGAGAGACATAGAGACAGAGACAGAGAGATAGAGACAGAGAGATAGATATAGAGAGATAGAGAGATAGATAGATATCACGATACATTGAAACGAGACTAAAGGCTCAAAACGGTTGATTTTGTACAGTATGTCTTTAGACACCAGGATGTGCTCACATTAGGACACGTTTGGCCTGATTGAATTTTTTTGGCTTGTTTTGCGTCTTTCTGAAGTGAGTAACAAATGCAAACGTGAGTATTCCCTGTGTGTGCAGGTCTGTCTCCTCCTCTTCCTCCTCTTCCTCCTCCTCCTCCTCTTCCTCCTCCTCCTCCGTCTCCTCCTCCTCTGACTCTGTGGAATCATGTTTGGGCAGGTTCTCTCTCCACACTTCTCCTGTCGCTGCAGACACACCCGAAACTCTAACTTTCACTGTAGTAACTAACTACTAATACTGCCAAGATTGTGATCTTCAGCCGTTAGCATGAACCATTTGTGAAGAATCAGCCAATGCTTGATAGACCACAAAAAGAGAACCCCCCTTTAGCCAATCAGCCCAAAGAGTCAAGTAGTGACTCACAGGGCTCTTTCTGTTGAGTATGTAAAATACGGAGGTTTGAGTTGTTCTCCTGATATCTTTATTTGAAATTTTAATAATCTTGAGGAATATCACTAATATTAAGAAGTAATTTATTTTTGCATAATTAAGCAGTTATCGGCTGAGCTGGTCCAAAGCGACGCTACAGAAATCCAGAAAAATCCCTGATTTCAAGGAGTAGTAAATACACTAAAAGTAAAAATATTTGCAGTCGTAAACTCCTTCACAAACTAAAACGTTGTGTTCACATCTCGCAGCTCTACACGACAAGATGAACATTTATTAAGATTAGGAGATTCTTTATTCGTCCCACAGTGGGATCATTTTACTTGTGGCAAATTCAGACTGAGTTTATTGATATTTTTCCTGATTAAATAACAAAACATACTTAAAACTACAATCGAAAGCCAGATCCTGTCGCACCTCTGAGGCTCAGCAGGGAAAGGCCTGGTCAGTACTGTGATGGGAGACCTCTGAAGACCAGGGGCTGGAGCAGATGTCCTGAATGAGTCTGAATAGTTGGAGGTGGTCAGGTGTTGACCTCGCTTCTGTCAATGTGCCCCAGGGCAGCTGTGGCTAAAGTAGTGAAGCAGCTGAAGCATTTTTGAGTGTCCAAAAAAGCACTGAATAAAAACAAATATATTAATATTATCAATAATATGTAAAACAATTCTGTTGTTGTAAGATTGGAAAATGTGGCTCATTTCACACTTGTCTGACACTAAACCTTCGACTAACGGTTTATTTAAAGACACATGACTAGAACTGACAAAATGATTCTAAATATTATCATATAAATACAAACAAAAACAAAGTAAAAAGTAAAAAAAAATATGTTTGCAGTTCCCTGTAACCTCCAACGGCGCCACAACATCCCAAATAAAGAATATGATGAAACCAATTCTCTGATCTGTGGTGAAGAACGACTACTTTGTAGAATCCGCAGAGACGTTGAGATTTAGGGCTAAACAAAACATCTCTCCTGTCAGAAAAGGTTTGGCTGTTTAAAATCACAAGAACCTGCCAAATAATTAAAAACCTGAGACTGTCCATTATAAATAATACTGCAGTTTAATAGTATTAATGAACTATTATGGGATGGTGTTTTCTGTTTGTCTCTGGCGCCCTTTAGAGAAAAAAACATGTGAGTACAACACGTTACCGCTGCAGATAAAATGAAATTAGCTCCAGTTTAGACGAACGCATTCCTTCAGTCCACACTTAATAAGCTCTATGGAGTCTATATGATGTTATACTTTGAAATCTCAAATTTGTGGTAAAATGATTTTGTCCAGGGGGAAGTCAGACCTCTGAAGCTAAGCGAGGCAGGGCTTTCCTTCTCTACATTGTACATTTTTTCTTTATACATTTTATTATGTTTTGGACAAAATAAAAATATATATGCATAATAAAAATAGCATGTTCTCCCCGTTTGAAAGTGTTTGATGTCAATGATAAATGGCTTGCATCGCCACAGACCTGACTTACAGAGACACGGCACAGAAGATCAATCTCAACGTTATTTCTCCTTTTGGTTTACTACCATTTTAAATTGTAAACGTGAAAGTCACTGATTTCATTTAGATCCATCTCTTTAACTAAATGTGCAAATGTACAAATGTATCATGAGTGTGTTTAACCCGTGCTACAGTTTGAAGCAGCACTTTGTACCATATTCTCTACACATCAAACTTTAGCACATTTTAGTTCAACTGAGTTTCTTCAGCTTTTTGCACTGTTCGCAAAAGTCATTGGACCTTCATCCAATGTCTGTGTGGAGACATGGTCAGCCCTGTCAGTCTGTACAACGAGCACCCCCTGGCCCCCGCTTAAGCCACTCCACACTAGAGGAGAGAACGGCAGAGAAAAGTAGAGTACAGGAGAGTAGACTACAGTAGAATACAGCACAGTGGAGTACAGTAGAGTACAGCAGAGTAGAGTACAGTAGAGTACAGCAGAGTAGACTACAGTAGAGTACAGCAGAGTAGAGTACAGTAGATTGGGGGAAAAAAGTAGAATACAGTAGAGTACAACAGAGTAGAGTACAGCAGAGTAGAGTACATCAGAGTAGAGTACAGGAGAGTAGAGTACATCAGAGTAGAGTAGAGTACAGTATAGTACAGCAGAGTACAGTAGAGTACAACAGAGTAGAATACAGCACAGTAGAATACAGCACAGTAGAGAAGAGTAGAGTACAGCAGAGTAGAGTACAGCACAGCAGAGTAGAGTACAGTAGAGTAGAGTACAGCAGAGTAGAGTACAGTAGAGTAGAGTACAGCAGAGTAGAGTACAGCAGAGTAGAGTACAGCAGAGTAGAGTAGAGTACAGCACAGCAGAGTAGAGTACAGTAGAGTAGAGTACAGCAGAGTAGAGTACAGCAGAGTAGAGTACACCAGAGTAGAGTACAGTGTAGTAGAGTACAGTAGAGTACAGCAGAGTAGAGTACAGCAGAGTAGAGTACAGCAGAGTAGAGTACAGCAGAGTAGAGCAGAGTAGAGTACAGCAGAGTAGAGTAGAGTACGACAGAGTAGAGTACAGTAGAGTAGAGTACAGCAGAGTAGAGAAGAGTACAGCAGAGTAGAGTAGAGTACAGCAGAGTAGAGTACAGTAGAGTACAGCAGAGTACAGTAGAGTAGAGTAGAGTAGAGCAGAGAAGAGCAACTTACTCTTTTCCGGGAGAGCTTTACTAAAATCATGTAGATAAATCTAAGTTGAAAATGCTGGAAGTTCATGATGAAACACGGCCGGACACAGAATAGAAAAATGAGCCCAGATTTAATGACATGGTTGTCAGCCGATCCACATGTAAACATTCACAATTCTTCTTCTCACAATATTTTAAGACGATGAAGCAGCTTGAAAAACACGTAAACAGAAGAGACAGCATAAATAATGATGCAAACAGTTCAGACACAAACAAAATCTCTAAGAACGGTCGAAGATGTGGGACGTACAGGAACAATCATTACAGAGCAATATTAGAACAACAAAATGTGAAATTTGGAGATATAAATGGGTTGACCCGATCACACTCTGAAAGCTAACAGAAAGTTTTAAAGAACCGATATTATGTTTTTGTTCATAAGAATTAACTCGGGGAATATTTGAAAAATGTCTTTATCAGAAAATGTATGGATAAACATGATTAATGGAGTAAGAGATGACTCGAATGCACCAACACTGCCCTCCAGTGGCAGGAGTAAGACATTACATCATTCTGCTATATTTAATCCAAGATGTGGTGGTCTAACTGAAGTGATTGTAAAGCACCAATTTCCAAAACTAACTGGGAAGCTGCCATTTCATTTGGTTGAAAAAGAACAACGCAAAAATATGGGTTTAAGAAGTGATAATGTACGGATTTGTCACGACACGCCACGTTTAAACAGCGGGGGCTCGGGCTGATTTGTATCGGAAGCTTCTGCTATTAGCCTGAATGGAGCTAAACACAACCCCAGGTCAGTCTTGTGACGAGGAACCGTAGGCTGACGTCATCTACGGTGTGAGACTTAATGTGGAAGAAGTCGATTAGGGCCAACTCAAACTGGCTCCATCGGTGGAAATTTCGGGCCAAATTTGTGAAAGCAACTCACTGGCAACCAAAAAACCAATCAGGAGCTTCGTTGCTCTGTTACCGGGTGAAGCCAAATTTGGGAAAGCAGCTGATAGGTCAGTTGTTAGCGGCCATAGCTAGTTTTACAAAGACACCAAGATCATGTTTCTTTGCATTATTGTTTTACATTTTGTGTTTTTTAAAATGCTTGTACATGCATTTCAGTCAAAACCATGACTTTTAAAGAGCAAAAGGTAAACTTCACTCATGAGAACTTTCCCCTTTGGCTTCGCAAAGAGCTAGCGGTTAGCATTGTCGTATACAGTCTGCGGTTGTGACCTGGTTAAATTTAGACTATGGAGGTTATGTGTTTTTTAATCGCCTTTTTTCTGCAGCCTTTTCAAACACGGATTATACTATAAGGCGACAAACTCTAGTTGGTTCCAGTCGGTCCTGTATCTCCCACATCTTCAGCTAAAGTGATCATTCATCTCATTGGTCAACGAGACTCTCCCACTGTGAAGGGAAAGGCAACAAAAATCTTCTTTTTAAACAAAGAAATCCAAAGTGACATATTTCAATACATTTGTAAAGACGGTGTAGTCCTCAGACCTCAGTGACTTTCATAATCACTGTGCGAAAAGTGAATTCACCATTTTACAGATAGAATGTTTTAAGACGATTGGTTCATGCAACACTGAAGTTTAGCGATTCTGGAAGACGCGACATTCTCCGAACAGTAAGGACGGGTTTGAAGAACGTGCTTAAGGTGATTTGCTTTCGACAAACGTTGAGCGATTTCACGGTTGTGTCTTGAAAACGTAGATCGGGAATTGGCAAAAACATACCGAGGGTGCGTTCACATTTTGGTCATGATTCCAGACTTTAGGTCCTTGAGGCAGGTCCTACTACTCCTTTAAAAAACAGTTACAGATTATATTAGATGATATTTCAGATTTAGTGAAGCATTTGATAATTATGAATCCAGTTTAACAGTCAAGAAGCCAAATTTTAAAGCTAAAAATTGGCCAGCGATAGTGCGACGTCATCAGTGCTCATACTCCCCATAATGAATCTGAAAAGATGAAGGCCAATGACGTTGAAGACGGAGGATGCGTTTGTCCCACAAGTTACTGTATGTAATGTTGTAACATGGAGAAAATGCTAATAAAAATACAATCCGGAACAGTCTTCCTGAAAATGTGAGACAAGCTTCTTTTCGGGCAATATTCAAATCCATACCTTCACTCTTTTTAATGCACTGTGATTATTTATGGTTTTAGTGCTTTGTCAAAGTGTTTCCATATTGTTTTGTTCATAACTTTGTGTTGCCTTGCCTAATGTCTGTAGCTCAAGAGGCAGTAGAAAATACAAAGGTTACATGACCAGAATCAATGGTAACAATCACTTTTTTTTGCCATATGAAATTGGAAATGTGAACGCACCCAAAGACAGACGCCGAACGAAGCAGAGAAGGTATAGCTTAAACTCCCCACGTTTTGGTCCGTCCCTGAACGCGGCGCTGTGCAAACAACAACCAGAGCAGGTCGCTTCGGGCTCATATCCACAGTGACGGGAAGAGGAAAAGTCTTTGGCACTTTGTCGAAACAAGGCGTTAGTGTCTCCACAGGCGGCTGCGTGAACTGCACCCATCCTTGCATAGTGTTTCCTTCATGTTTTTTCTGAATATCCCACTCTCTTTCTGACTCCGAGGTGGCTTTCTCAAGTGTTCGATGGCTTTTGAGACTCGGATGTGGCGCCATCTTGGGAGGAAATTCAAAAGAAAGAAGCGTTTGTAAATGACAAGACGCCCTTTCCATGTTCATTTCCTCAAACTGTCATGTTTATAGAGAAGAAATAGCTTAAGACTGGTCCATGGCTTCATCACTGGGGAATAATGTATAGCTAGTTTTAAGGTGGCACTAATACAGCACATCGAATTCTTTCAACAACTTCTCGCTGGTGTTTGGAATTAGTTCAGTTTAGAATTCACTATTTTGAAGGACACTAAAAATAGATCTGTCTGTTCCACTTGCCTCGTTGATTCCAAAGCAGCCACTAGACCTGGATAATACATATAATTTCGTGTCTCGACTGTTTTTGGTCCAGTTTTTTTCATGGCTTTAGACACGGCTTTGGACCTGCTTTGAACTAACTGATCTACAAAATGCAGAAATTAAATTGAATAAGTTTGGTTAAAGATGATGTCTGCAACTTTTAACATTATGCATATTTTTGACCATTGACCCTGTGCAATAATGTAAATCATTATTTTTGAAAAGTAATGCATTTCAAATAGTCCCTCCTCTTGGCAGAACCACCCCCTGGTAATATTTGTCGGCGGAGAACAGTAACCTACATCCACCTCAATTTCTATCATCCGGGTATACACTTGCACTATTCCACCTGCAGATGGCGCCACACTCGTCCTCGTCTCACTCTCTCAGGTCCAGACTTCCATCGGCATCATGGCCTCTTTGGACCCGATGGGCGGCAGCAGGTTCTGTTCTGCCAAAAACTGCAGGGGGAACTGAACGGCGAATCCTCGGATCTTCTTGAGCTCCTCGCGGGCGCGCTCTGGGTCCTCGCGGTCCAGACCCGGTTTGGACAGGAAGCCCTCCAGCTCCGTGATGCTCCGGACGTCACTGGACGGGAGGCAGCGGAACACCTAAAACAGGACGACAACGATATTCATTGTAGTGTGTGTGTTCAGGGTGTATTAGAAATGTCAAGTACAGTCACTAGAGATTTACTTTTGAATGCACTGAATTTTTATTTTTATTGCTTTTTTTTTGCCTGAGATGTTGCTGCAGTACAGTGCTCATGGTTTTACACTGGTCCAGACCAGAGCAGAGAGGATTCATGTTCCGAACCAAGCGGCTCAGGCGATAATCCACTGGAGGAATGCTAACTTTTTGAAAAGTATTTTTCCTTTTACTTTGGACCAGAGCAGAGAAAATGGTCGCGGCTACTCCACCTTGTCACCCGTCCTGCTCCACCCAGAGGCTACTCCACCTCTGCTGCTGTGACCTGAAGGGCTGTTGCTGATTATTACTATTGTTAGATTTTTAGAATGATCCATCTTATTTTTGCTGCTAATGGACCCCTGAATTTCTCCTACAGGATCAATAAAGTATCTATCCATCCATCCATCTCTCTAGAGCCAATGGGTTATGTGATATTTATCTGTCTGCTGTGGTACAAATGTATACAATGGAAGTTCTCACATCTATTTCTCCAGATCGGGGGTATAACTCACACTGCTGTTGTCACTTTTGAATTTATTTTGCATATTAAATCCTGCACAAAGGAGACTATCTGTTCACGTTTTAACATTCTGCACATTTCTTGTCTTTTGGCACACCCTGAGTGATACGATTTATGCCAAATATGACAATAAAGTACATCTTATCTTATCCTAAATCAAATAATCATTCCCTCACACGCCTTACCTGCAAATAAAAATGTATAAGAAAATCAACGTTTCAGCTGGGTACCGAACATATTTCCTCATAAATAACCCATGTTGTTTGTTCCAGCAGATGGAGTCTTAAGTCTTACCTCAACATACAGTCTTAAAAAACATGCTATAGTTTGCGTACTTGTAACAAAGAGCCCCGTGAGTCACTATTTGACGCTTTAGGCTGAGAGCTGAGTGAGTGTGGTCCTCTCCTTTTCCCTTTTTCGGTCTAAAACAGTTGATCTAAAGATGTGACAGAGGCCAAAAATACACACAGGTGAAAACTAGAACCAGTTTGATGGTAGTATGAAAGCAAAACCTCAATGCAGTATATGTCCAATTGTATTTTTAAAAGGGGGCTATCCTTATTAAAAACATGTATTTCCCACCTTCGCAATGTGTTTTGTGTTAGAGATAAGTAATAAATCAGTAAAATAACATTTTAATATCAACGCCTCTGATTGGCCTCACTGTTGATGGCATTGCTCCTGCTGCCGCTTTGACACAAATAAACCTTAAAATGGGTGCATTTTGTACGGCCCCGGGATGCATCAATGAAAGTAACAAAAAGAAGAGTGTAAACAGCACTCCCTACGATCTTTGACTTATTCAGAGAAGGCCACGGTCCAAAACAAACTGAGAGAAGACACAAGCGCCAGGTCCATGAAATTAGTTCTATCAAGCTCCAACTAAAACCAAGTTTACGAGTTTCAACCCAGTATTCAGCAGAAAACACAATGACTGTCATTGAACCATTAATCCATGTTTCACTGGATTACGTTTAGTAAAAGATATAGATATGACACATACCATCAAACAAATGCATATCAACAAAGCCCAATGACCCCTACGTGTACGTCACTTCTGGTCTCGACAATTTCTCTGCAAATTTCTTTTTGCATGATAATTATTATTGATAGAAACTGCTATGGGTGAAACTATCTCTCAAAATTAGTTTAATTTAACACAAAAAAGACCACAATATACGAACAAAATATGATTAGGTCTGTTTTAAAGTCATTTTGATGTTTTAATGTCTTGGTTCACTCGGTGCCTTGCTCTGGTCTCGTCTATCACTGTGTAAGGATTTTTAGCTTCTTAGTTTTCTTTTAAAATCTCGTCTAAAGACACATTTGTAGGCCTTGGCTTTCGACATCAACTGAGTTCTAACCGTTGTGTATCTGTGTGTATTTCATGCCATTTTCTGAGGACTTTTTTTTTCTATTTTGTGCATTTGAGGCACTTTGAGCAGCTGGTGTTGTACATGCGCTATACAAAAAAAGCTGAGATTTTTTTGTATAGCGCATAGCGGCAAAAGTTGTGTACCCCAGCTTTTAGTACCAGGTTGAGCAGTAGCATTATTCTATATGTGGAGTTTAAGTATGGTACAGAAAACCCAAAAAACAGAAAAGCCGAAATGGAAAAATAGATGTAGCTTTGTCGTTCAAATCTATGACTTTTGCAGTAAATGGCAGAACAGTGGCACCTTCTGGTAGATGGAGGCGTTGCGGGCGCAGGTGGCCATCCAGACCTCCTTATAGAACGTGTCGCTGATCGGGTCTGAAACATCGATGGACGGATCTGCGCCTGCTCCGAGGATCATGCTGGAAAAATACACACAAAAACACGGATATATTTGTGGCTTTGACTAAAACGGCCGACGTGTTTGTGCAGAGTGTAGTTTATCTGTGAGAGCTGAGGAACTCCATTAAGAAGCATTGAACGCAGAAGCAACTATGAGAAGTAACGAAAAATACGTACAATCAGGCAGAAGAGCACGGAGGACTGAGGTGTGAACACGCTCTAAATTACTACACATACATAGCCTGAATGATTTTTATATAAAACTATGGACTAAGCTTTTACTCATGCATTTTTAAGGACACAAAACCTTAAACAATAGAGCTCTGCAGGCTGTTGAAATGAAACGCAATTTAATTACAGAAATAAATAATAAACTTAAACTAGCAATATGTAAGATTTTCATGTCAAGTCATCATTAAAGGGCCCTAATCTGTGAAAAGGCATTAATAAAACATCCATCCATTTTCTTCCCCTTAATCCATTTCTGGGTAGGGGGGGTGGCAGTCAGAGCTGCACCCAGTACACCAGCCCCTAATCCTCCTGCAGGTAGTGAGTCCACAGGAGATTTGGTCTTCCAGCAGGGGCTTCAGGCAAAGTGGGGTTAAGTGTCTTGCCCAAGGACACAGCAGACATCAGTGGGAGTCGTGAAGTAGAACTCGTGGTGGGCTCGAACCCATGACCTTCAGGCCCAAAGGCCAATGCTCTACCAACTGAGCTACTGTCACCGACTGAGCCACTGTGTCCTCAGACACAAGTGGTGGAAATGAGGTTCCTCTGCAGTGTCCCTCCCTCAGAGATTTAGGATGCGGAGCTCAGTCACTCGGGAGGAGCTCAGAGTGGAGCCGCTGCTTCTCCACGTCAAGAGGAGCCTAGTGGACATCTGTTTCAGAGGCCTCCTGGACACCTCCCTGGGGAGGTGTTCAGAACTTCTCCCACTGGGAGAAGATCCCGGGAAGACCCAGGACACACTGTAGGGACTATGTCTCTCAGCTGGCCTGGGAACGCCTCGGGATTCCCTCGGATGAGCTGGAGGAAATGTGTTTAGATAGGGAAGTCTGGGCGTCTGTGTTTAGAGAAGCTGCCCTCACAACCCAGCAACGGATAAATGCTCTTTTCAAATACTTCAAGTGATAACAGTAGTTCAGAGATATTTGGATTTCGAAGTTAGTTTTACAGCCCCTAAATCTTGTTATTGTTTTCATTTCGATGTCCCGCCCTCCACGTTTCACCAATCAAAAAGTCTATGAACCAGGCGCCAGAATTCACTGTGTTGAGTTGAGTGATAAATGATTCTCAAATCATCAATGACAAAATGGGGAATAAAACCAGGATTTCTATCTTTGTGAAAAAATGTGTTCGTTATAGATTTGTTGTTGACAAAACTCTTGTCTATTCAGCTGTTATGGTCCCAGCTGGATTCGTCCGCATATCTGGCAACCTGAGTCAGGGAGAGTGGGAGAGGCTGCAGTACCACTTTTGGCCAGATTTTTTACATACTGCTCCTTTAAATAAACAAAATAAATACAATTTTGAACAATATTTTAATTTTCAACTCTAAATGTACACCTGCACAAATTAAGATAATAATAATAATAATAACATAAATGGATGACTTTACAAGGTTCAGTTCAGACCACACAAGGTCAGGTCTAGAGCAAAAATGTGATTCTCTTCTGAATGGGTTTTTTTTGTTGCCAAATCATTTCTAGAGGCCAGTGCATTGTTGTGTGTTATATTGAGACAATTCTAAGTACAACCTTGTCATACAATATCAATAATATGGGCCTAGCAAAGTCAAGGTCAAATCTATATTTATAAAACTCACACACAATTATTTTTGTGAAGGAGCTGGGGTTTTCTGGGAATAGCGGATAAGAGTTCTGTTGGAGAAATAAAGGTCAGCGAGACTCAGCTCTTCGTCTCCCATTGACTGCCTCCACAACATCACATTCAAAAACAACTGCACAGACAATATCTACAAATGCATAAAACAATCCAGTATCGACCATATAAAAGCTACAGAACAGGAGAAGCCGAAGTAAAAATAGTGTTTTTAATTTAGATTTAAAACTGGTCCAAAGTTTAACGCCAACATCTCTAAACAGAAGTCATGTGTTTCCCAACATGTGGTACCTGAAGCAGTGCAGCCTGAGGGCCAGAGCGTACTGCCCGGCTTCATACGGAGCCCCGTCCATCACTGAGGCTGTGGTCTCCGAGTCCTCCACAATCACCGCCACCTCGCTGTCCCGCTTTCCCAGCATGCTCCTGTCGTTGATGTTGGCCGAGCCTGGACACAGCAGAAAATGTTACATTTTACATTAATTTATATCAATACCTTTTTTTCATCTGGGGAACTTTTCAACTGTTACTATTATCAAACCACAGCTCAGTACGGAGGTGATACACACCAGATCCTTGGCACTACTTTTCTCATGCATGTATTTTTCTGCCTTTATCACATATTTAGATCAGCTTTTTTAGACAGAAACGTACGACAGAGAGGACCACCCTCATTCGGCCAATCAGCTCTCAGCTCAAAGAGTCAGAAAATGCCTCACAGGGCTCTTACTTACTCGTATGCAGAAGACGACATGTTTTCTAATGAGAGCATAAAGAGGTCTGATTTGTTAAAAACAAGGTACCCCAGCTTTAATAAAGCATGCAGATTCAGATAAAGACAACACCAAAGGAAATTACCAGTAGGGGGCAGTGCAACATAAAAAGAATAATGCCATGTACTACTTCACCAAAATGTTTCTATACTTTATTTAATTCAAAAAATGACAATATTACGGACAACAGGCAGCGGGAAGAACAAGGAAACAAGAAAATGAAAAAGTCAAGTTTTTTTCTTAACTCTAAAGAAACATTTGTAGACTTTCTGTAGAAGAAGATAACAACATATTTTGTGATGTAATCATCTGTTTACTGTATACAGTAACTACAGGCTTTGAACTAACAATATAAATGTAACTTGATCAATCTCAATATTTATGTAGAAATAATTGAAATGTGTTTTATTGATTAATGCCTGCCTCATTCAGTCTCAGAAAATGGGGGTAAAATAATGAATCAATCCAAGCAGTGGATGGATCAAAGTGCTACGTACTCCAGACCCTGGTCAAACTGTAGTTCACTTTATTTTCTATCCTGTTGGTTTTTTGTTTGACTGAGAATTGAAACGAGTTTGATAAATAAATATATAAAAGTGATCCAAAAACCACTGGTGTCGAAGCGCCGGGTCTCACCGATGATGACCGTGTTGTCGTCGGCGATGAGCATCTTGCTGTGGACGTAGATCAGCTCCGTCACCAGGCGGCCCTCCAGGACTGCGTGAGTCCTGAGCCCCGCGATCGAGATGTAGTTCATCCACCGGTCGCCCACTGCACACAGGGACACACTCAACATGAAGACCAGGAGGAGAAGGAGACGCATGCACTCAACATGAAGACCAGGAGCAGAAGGAGACGCATGCACTCAACATGAAGACCAGGAGCAGAAGGAGACGCATGCACTCAACATGAAGACCAGGAGCAGAAGCAGACGCATGCACTCAACATGAAGACCAGGAGCAGAAGGAGACGCATGCACTCAACATGAAGACCAGGAGGAGAAGGAGACGCATGCACTCAACATGAAGACCAGGAGGAGAAGGAGACGCATGCACTCAACATGAAGACCAGGAGGAGACTATACACACATAATGAAGACCAGGAGGAGACTATACACTCATAAAGAAGACCAGGAGGAGACTATACACTCATAAAGAAGACCAGGAGGAGACTATACACTCAACATGAAGACCAGGAGCAGAAGGAGACGCATGCACTCAACATGAAGACCAGGAGGAGACTATACACTCATAATGAAGACCAGGAGGAGACTATACACTCATAATGAAGACCAGGAGGAGACTATACACTCATAATGAAGACCAGGAGGAGACTATACACTCATAATGAAGACCAGAAGGAGACTATACACTCATAATGAAGACCAGAAGGAGACTATACACTCATAATGAAGACCAGAAGGAGACTATACACTCATAATGAAGACCAGGAGGAGACTATACACTCATAAAGAAGACCAGGAGGAGACTATACACTCAACATGAAGACCAGGAAGAGACTATACACTCATAATGAAGACCAGAAGGAGACTATACACTCATAATGAAGACCAGAAGGAGACTATACACTCATAATGAAGACCAGGAGGAGACTATACACTCATAATGACGACCAGAAGGAGACTATACACTCATAATGAAGACCAGGAGGAGACTATACACTCATAAAGAAGACCAGGAGGAGACTATACACTCAACATGAAGACCAGGAGCAGAAGGAGACGCATGCACTCAACATGAAGACCAGGAGCAGAAGGAGACGCATGCACTCAACATGAAGACCAGGAGGAGAAGGAGACGCATACACTCAACATGAAGACCAGGAGGAGAAGGAGACGCAAGCACTCAACATGAAGACCAGGAGGAGACTATACACTCATAATGAAGACCAGGAGGAGACTATACACTCGTAATGAAGAGCAGGAGGAGACTATACACTCGTAATGAAGAGCAGGAGGAGACTATACACTCATAATGAAGACCAGAAGGAGACTATACACTCATAATGAAGACCAGGAGGAGATGAATCACTCATAAAGAAGACCAGAAGGAGACTATACACTCATAATGAAGACAAGGAGGAGACTATACACTCATAAAGAAGACCAGGAAGAGACTATACACTCATAATGAAGACCAGAAGGAGACTATACACTCATAATGAAGACCAGGGGGAGACTATACACTCATAAAGAAGACCAGGAAGAGACTATACACTCATAATGAAGACCAGAAGGAGACTATACACTCATAATGAAGACCAGGAGGAGACTATACACTCATAATCAAGACCAGAAGGAGACTATACACTCATAATGAAGACCAGGAGGAGACTATACACTCATAATGAAGACCAGAAGGAGACTATACACTCATAATGAAGACCAGAAGGAGACTATACACTCATAATGAAGACCAGGAGGAGACTATACACTCATAAAGAAGACCAGAAGGAGACTATACACTCATAATGAAGACCACAAACAAACACAGACATATTTTAAAGGGACAGTGTGTAATATTTTAATTTTAAGTTATATCTACATCTTGTACGTTAATCCTCCACAAGTTAAAAGTCCGAGTTTTTCTTATTTAGAATATAACGAACATAATGTTAAAGCAGACTGTCCAATCAGAGAGCAGAACGGGCCTCTCAATTATGCTTATCTTTTTTCCCCCTTTCTTTTATTTTTCAAGCTTCACAAACAAAAACTACTGTTTTGGCGGCACGGTGGCTGAGTGGATAGCACTCTCGCCTCTCAGCAAGAAGGTCCTGGGTTCGAATCCCGGTCGGACCAGGGCCTTTCTGAGTGGAGTTTGCATGTTCTCCCCGTGTCTGCGTAGGTTTCCTCCGGGTACTCCGGTTTCCCCTACCACTAAAAATATGTCCAATAGTTCTGGCATGCGCCTCCTGTACTGGCGACCCCGCTCCCATCTCTGTGTGGAGTGAGAGACAAATGCCCAAAATTAACAATTGTAAACCGCTTTGAGACTCAGATCTGCAGTGAAAAGGCGGTATATAAATAAAAACTTACTTACTTACTTACTTACTACTACTATGTTGGACGTTAGTGCCATTACACTGCTACAAACCCCTCACCTTTCAAACTGTGAATATTGCTGTATGGCATCTGTTTTTTTCTTATCTAATTACTTTCTTACTCTTGAATACATATACGAACGGGACATCTGAATAAAATCCACAGCCGCAGCAGCAAAGCCACAGGTGCAGCCGACCTCTCCCTGAACCGTGACACTCTCTCCCTCCGTCCATATGTGGCCTGTGCATCTATCAGTAAAACCACAGAGCCATTTTTAAAACTCAAAGACTAAAACATGGCCAATAACTGAGTTTTACCCAAACTGATCAAGCAGCTGTGGAGCGTGTGGAGCGTGTGGGAAAGGCACAGTCTGTAATCTGAGAGGAAAGAGGGACTTTGTGGATTTAAAAAGCTTATGTTTAAACACAAACCTCTTCATGTTGTTGCTTTTATGTTACAAACCAATAAACTACAGAGGAACGTCCATAAAAGTTCAGGACAGACTTTTTAAACTCATTTTTGGGTAATATTTGGATTATTGGGCGGCACGGTGGCCGAGTGGATAGCACTCTCGCCTCTCAGCAAGAAGCTCCTGGGATCGAATCCCGGTCGAAACAGGGCCTTTCTTAGCAGAGTTTGCATGTTCTCCCTGTGTCTGCGTATGTTTCCTCCGGGTGCTCCGGTTTCCCCTACCACTAAAAACATGTACAATAGGTATGAATGTAAATGAGAGAGTGAATGGATGGTGTTGGGTCGGAAGCTTTGATGGTCCAGTGTGTTCTGGACTCGCTTCCGTCATCACCGTGTGTGGAATGATTGGAACAATATCTGACTCTGAACATTGTAAAGTGCTTTGGGTCTGTGCCTTGGTCTGTAAAATGCGCTATATAAATAAACATTACTTACTTACTATCTACTTCTAGCTTTTCTAACTGAAATGGTTGCAAATCTTCAGATCTTTTGTATTTGTAGTGTTTTTACAGCTACTCGAATACATTACACCACAGGTACATGATCATGCCAACCTGTCAAACCCTGATCTCATTATATCTCAGGAGCTAAGCAATGTGGGGCCTGGTTAAAACATGGATGGGAGACCACACAAACTGTTGTTGGCTGAATCTGCAATCATAAAAACAATCCTTCTTTCTGTACGTTTTTCAAATGGTTGATTGTAAAAGAATTAAAAACAGGACCAATGTCAGCCCCCACCCCTTCTGTCTACATTCTCCTGTCTCAAACCTGGTATACGCTATGATGAATGCTTACACTATTCTGTCTTTTATTTCCAGAGCAGTTGCCTCCTCAATAGATTAGTTTAGTCACTTTCTCCAGTGAAATGTTACTCTTTACAACCGCGTGACTGAGTTTGTAGCATGCAATGTTTGATTTTGAAAATGTAAGTAAGTAATCTTTATTGATATAGTGCATTTCTTACAGACCAAGGTCACCAAAAGCGCTTTACAATGTTCAGAGTTCAGATATTGTTTCATTCTCTCCACACGGTGACGACAGAAGAGAGACGCTGAACACACTGGACCATCAAACCCTCAGACAACACCATCCATTCACTCACTCACTACATTCTGACCTATTGTGCATGTTTTAGTGGTAGGGGAAACCGGAGTTCCCGGAGGAAACCTTAAAAGACACGGGGAGAACATGCAAACGCCACTCAGAAAGGTTCTGTTCCGACCAGGATTCGAACCCCAGACCTTGTGATATGTCAACCCCTTCATCTGGTTGTAGAAGTGCGCATTTCTTTTATACTTGTTTATGCTTTTATTTTCCATTTTAGTGCAGTTAGCAATGTTGTTAGCTTAGCCGTAGCACCAACTCGAAACCACTCCCCCCTTCCCTCCCTCGCCACCAAACCAAACATCCAGCATTTTATTTTCTTTGTCGCAACAGGAAGAGTGGGCGGCAAACGTGAAATTGGCATTTTCTTTTCAGCCAAAATCCGATCACTCAGGTGCACTCATGAGAAACAGGAAGAGAGTGAAGGCGGTAAACGAATCCCATTGGTTTGTTTTTATCGGTCCGCTCCAAAATATTCTTTATTAATTTTTTGAGCATCTGGTCAATTCCATTACTATTGGAAAAGACATGATAACTTGACTAATTTTAGGGTTTAGTGACGTTTTGCCACAATATTTAAAAACTTTAAGACGTTACTTCGGACTCTAAATCATGAAACTACAAAGAAAGTAGTTGCATAATCATGTTTAACGAACAATAACAATGCATATTATAAAGCTTTTTTAGTTTGTATTATCTGTTTATTATCTCATTTAAATGCTCTTTAAATAAGGCCAATAAAAAGGAAGAATTAGGGCAACACACTTGGCCCACATTGCCAATAGTACACGATGAGCGAGTGAATGAAGGATTGGTCTGAACTGGCCTTGCTGCTGTCAGTCTGCCCTAGGACAGCTGCGGCTACACAGAGGTGGAGCGAATGAATTGAAAAGCCTGGATTGGGACTCACTGTCTTTCTTCAGCTGCGAGATGATGGAGTGCTCCCCTCTGTTCATGGTCCTGGGAAAGACAAAAGAGACCGAGACGTTACGATGGTATGCACAGAGCGGCGTTTGCTCAGGGCTGGGTCTCTGTTTGCAAAGGGAAGAGGAAAGAAGGACAAAGACATTTCTGAGACGGACTGAAGTGTGGGGCGCAGTTTTCCCAATAAAATACAAGTGATTTTTTAGAGTCCATAGCAGTCACAGGCTTCAGAACAATGGTATTACAGTTTGAGATTAGAAACATAAACTGTGACATCACAAAAAGAGCAGTTTTCTGTTTTTTAACCTTTTAACGGTCACTCAGTGAAAAAAGCAACGTATTTTGGGGATTTTTATTTGGGATTGGACACTAATAACACAAATAATTAGTTTTATGTTTCTTTGTTGTGTTGTTTTGAACCCCTATTTTTATTTTTATTATCATAGGCCTTGACCAAATGGTTGAGAGGCAGTTTGATGGTAAAAAATGCCAAAAACCAGGCGAGAAATGCCCCAAAGAGGTAGTTCCAAGCTTCAAGTAGAGTGACTCAAAAGGTGATCTACTAAATGTCTGATTGAGGGGAATTGAAGGGTTAAATTAAAAACAAAATGTTCTGTGAAATTGTGTTTTTAAAAATAAACATCTCAACAAATTAGTTTGAAAAAATATAAATAACATTCTACTCTCCCTTTAGTGGTAGCATTTGGAGTTACAGGCAAAACACATTTGTTATACCCTTCATACTTGTTAAACATATTATTATTTCACATTAGAAAACATGAAATGAAAAAGTAAGAAGCCTCAATATTATTTTAATGGGCAAAGATAATTCACAATATAAACATCATATTAAAATCATATTAAAGGGTCATAAAAGGCACAATATTTTCTCACAGTCACGGCTGATGTGTGTTTTTGCTGCTGACCTGTAGTTGAAGTGCATGATGGCCTGGATGGCACTTCCTCCTCCTGTGCTGATGTCACCTTCGAATCCAGGAAGTAGAGGAGTCACCACGTAAACGCGGTATTTCTTCTGTTCCCTGCAACAGAGAAGAGCTTTGGTGCATTTGGATGGACCCAAGAGGACTGCTTTGACTGCATCACATTTGGGTAACATCCTGAAATAATGACAACTTAAAGCTGGTGTACCGAACTTTTAAACCACACGAAACAAAGAAACAGAGTCCATCAAATCAAAACCTTTCTCTAAAAGCAGTTGGGTTCTATCACTTGTTTTCATGTGCATGTATTTTTTTTGGCCTCACATCTTTAGATCGGCTTTTTCAACCAGAAAAGTGAAAACGACAGAACCACCCTCACTCAGCCAATCAGCCCTCGGCCCAAAGCATCAAATAGTGACTCTTAAGGCTCTTCCTTACAAGTATTACAAAGATAACATGGGTTTTAATGCGATTAAACTTTGTCCTTTTATAAAAGCAAAAACATAGCATCAGATTATTACATCAAATACATTTTTTTGGCTTAAAGGTTTCATACTGGGGCTTTAAAGTGGCCCATACTTTACAGACGTACTGCAGATATAGACGCTGATCAAGGATAACTTTGAAATATTTAAAAACTCTAAAAACATTGCACGTCTCTAACTACTTTTCATGTCACTTTCTCTGTTATTCTAAAAAAACATACAGCTGCTGTTTTTGTACCTCTGTTCAGCTCGAGGTCAGTCATGTGCTGCAGCGTACATGAGATCAAGTGCTGTTTATAGCAAAGTGAAATAACCAGTTCTTACCTGAACGCTCGGAGGATGCGCTGTGCGATTGCGTCCCCGATTTTGTTGAACACATGTCTGTTGTCGGCGCAGCTGATGAAGAACTGGTTCTAGAGTGGAATATAGAAAAACAGTGAACAAGGAAACAATGGACAGCACCTTAATGACACGCACTGTAAAAAACACTATTCTCTTCTTGCAATAAGGTTGAGAAGCTGCGGTGAATCTGCAGGAGTCTGAAATGAGGGAAACCTAGAGCCAGTTTGAAACCTCAAGAAACACACAAAACCACCGACCTCAGTCTTTTCAACCCACTAAAACAACAGAAATATTCGCCATCTGCAGGCCGTTTGCTGAACTGCACACAGATTAAAAAATGGTTCATTTTGCCATGTTGAGTTATGTTTTTTGTTCTTTTGAAAGACAGCATAGACAGAGAGACCAGAGAGAGACCAGAGAGAGAGACCAGAGAGAGGCTAGAGAGAGACCAGAGAGACCAGCGAGACCAGAGAGAGACCAGAGAGAGAGACCAGAGAGAGGCTAGAGAGAGACCAGAGAGAGAGACCAGAGAGCGAGACCAGAGAGAGAGACCAGAGAGACAGACCAGAGAGAGAGACCAGAGAGACAGACCAGAGAGAGACCAGAGAGAGAGACCAGAGAGAGGCTAGAGAGAGACCAGAGAGAGAGACCAGAGAGAGAGACCAGAGAGAGGCTAGAGAGAGACCAGAGAGAGAGACCAGAGAGAGAGACCAGAGAGAGAGACCAGAGAGAGAGACCAGAGAGAGGCCAGAGAGAGACCAGAGAGAGAGACCAGAGAGAGAGACCAGAGAGACACCAGAGAGAGACCAGAGAAAGACCAGCGAGACCAGAGAGAGACCAGAGAGAGAGACCAGAGAGAGGCTAGAGAGAGACCAGAGAGAGAGACCAGAGAGCGAGACCAGAGAGAGAGACCAGAGAGACAGACCAGAGAGAGAGACCAGAGAGACAGACCAGAGAGAGACCAGAGAGAGAGACCAGAGAGAGGCTAGAGAGAGACCAGAGAGAGAGACCAGAGAGAGAGACCAGAGAGAGGCTAGAGAGAGACCAGAGAGAGAGACCAGAGAGAGAGACCAGAGAGAGGCTAGAGAGAGACCAGAGAGAGAGACCAGAGAGCGAGACCAGAGAGAGAGACCAGAGAGACAGACCAGAGAGAGAGACCAGAGAGACAGACCAGAGAGAGACCAGAGAGAGAGACCAGAGAGAGGCTAGAGAGAGACCAGAGAGAGAGACCAGAGAGAGAGACCAGAGAGAGGCTAGAGAGAGACCAGAGAGAGAGACCAGAGAGAGAGACCAGAGAGAGAGACCAGAGAGAGAGACCAGAGAGAGGCTAGAGAGAGACCAGAGAGAGAGACCAGAGAGAGAGACCAGAGAGAGAGACCAGAGAGAGAGACCAGAGAGAGAGACCAGAGAGACACCAGAGAGACACCAGAGAGAGACCAGAGAAAGACCAGAGAGAGACCAGAGAGAGACCAGAGAGACCAGAGAGAGACCAGAGAGAGACCAGAGAGAGACTGCGGTAGACGTCTGAACCAATCGCAGCGGTGCACACAAGCCAAAATCGTTTTCTTCTGACTTTAAATAACGGAAACTGTCATGTTATACCAGCGGTTACATGATGTCGTTGAACTATACACACGCATGACGCTGTAAAAACACAAAAATTGGTGAAAAGTGAGGCGCGTTGTCGTTACCTCGATGTAGATGAAGTGCTGGCTGTTCTTGATGGTTTCCACGTACGCATTGTGGATGGATTCTTCGTGATATTTGATGCCGGCCGACCAGTCCGCCGCAGACCGCAGGATCTGAGACAACATCCATTCAATTAACTTTATAATACAATTTAGGCTGAGTCACACTACTTTGACTAGGGGACTAAACCCGGGACTACACCTGGACTAGACCAGGCCTAGGACCAAGTCTACATCAGCGCTAAACTATGGGGACTAAACCAGGACAAGGAAAACGCACCTTTCATTTCCTAAAACTGGTCCATGGATTTCAGTTTCCTGTTTTAGGCGACATTTTGAACATTTTTGAAACAATATATCATAAAAATACTGATGTTTTTTTGCGTCACAATAATTGTAAAAAATATAATAAATGTCTTTTCCCACCTGAACTTTTGCGGTGACAGAGTTAGGGACCAGGTAGCGCTGCTCTCCTGCCGTCGTGTGAGATTTCGGGAGAAGGCACGGATACGACGAAGAACGATACTTTGGCTTCACCATCTGCAAACGATAAAAAATATACAAATAAACAGAGATGAATATTGCCAAGTATATTTGTATACTGCGTACATGGTCCAATGAAAAACAATATGGTAAAGGAATTGTAATGACAGTAGTTTTGTAGATTTTTTTTATCATACCCATGTTTTGTAATGGAATAAATAAATTTTGGCATCCCTTATTTAAAAAATGAACATATACTTAAAGCTGTAGTACTTTTTCTATAAATAATACTTTGTAGTTCTTCCAATAGAAAGAATAAAAGTCATATTCTGTGTCTTCATCTCATTATGTTATCTATCTCCAGGCCTTTCTGAGTGGAGTTTGTTTGCTCTCCATGTGTCTGCATAGATTTCCTTCAGGTGCTCTGGTTTCCTCCGGGTGCTCCAGTTTCGCCTACCACTAAAAGCATGTCCAACAGGTTCGTCATGTTCTGTCAAATCAGTTTGTTAAAACTAAAAGATGTGACTGAGGCCAAAATACATGTGTGTGAAAAATAGTGGCAGAACCAAACAAGCAAGGAACTAAAAAGTAGGTAAACTAGCTTTAAAGTGCTGTAAGATCAAACATATCCAACCTTTATTATGTGTCATTGTTATTGCTTCAAAAATACCCTGAAAAAAGGTGTGTATGTTTTTAAAATGTGCACTTTTGACTTGAAAAGACCTTGGTGAAGTTCCAGCGCTGGATGAAATGGCGGGCTACGTCTCGAGCCGCTTTCCCGTGAACCACAGACGCGATGTCGTGCCAAGGCATTCTGGGAGTGGTGTGTCTGTCGATGAAGTCTGTAAGAACAAGAACAAGATAAATTTATGCTAACTTAGTTTAAAACCAAAACAATTGAACTATCAGCGTTAAATTAACTCCAAGTCACTAGTTCCTCGCTCTGAAAACAGTTTGGTTCAATCTCAGGTTTTCACATGCGTCTCATTTTGGCCTCAGTCACATCTTTAGATAAAGAGAGAAAATGACATAAAAGAGAGAAAGTGAAAAAGAGTGAACCACCCTCAGCCCAAAGTGTCAAAAAATGACTCGCAGGGCTCTTTCTTCCAAGCTGCAAAATATAACATGTTTTCTGATAAGATGAGGAAACAGGTTGAGGTCTGATTTGTCACAAAACAGATTTTTTCAAAGTTAGGTACCCAAACATTAATTGCAAAGCTGTAATAAAGAGCCTTGTGAGTCACAGTATGACACTTTGGGAATTCAGATACATTTTTAAAACCAAATTAAGCAGATGGTGGCGCTACTGAGAAAAAAGATGGCATGTGAGCGCGAGCGATATTGCAAAGTGTTTGTGTGAAATCGGAATTAGTTAAAAATAATTAAATTTGGCAGCATCTTCCTTCAGTCAACATTTCAAATTGTATCACAGCAGTAAATATCGATGTAGAAATGTGTCATAAATAAGGATTAGGAGTTCCTGTATCTGTCCCACAGTCGGGAAATGTCAGTGTTGCATCAAAAAAGCAGTATAAATAGCACTGGTATCTCTAGCCTTAACATGATAAGAAGCAACTTTAGCATAACTTTAGCATAATGAAGAAGCAAGAATGAAGTACACAATCTAAATTCAGATAATATACTGCTCATTTGCAAAAGTAGCATGTATTTCTTGCGTTGGTGAATGCTACCATCAAAAGGCTTGTCCAGTCGGATCCAGTCCTTGTAGACAAAGTTGCAGTAATCTTTGCCGTGCCAGAATCTGGTGTTTCCAAACAGCTCTCCCACGCCGGTCTGAAGGCTCCGCACCGAGTTGTTCCCTAAAACACACAAAACAATTATAAAAGAGCTGGATAATAGAGCTAGATTATAGAGCTAGATTATGGAGCTAGATTATAGAGCTAGATTATAGAGCTAGATTATGGAGCTATATTATAGAACTAGATTATGGAGCTAGATTATAGAACTAGATTATGGAGCTAGATTATAGAGCTAGATTATGGAGCTAGATTATAGAGCTAGATTATGGAGCTAGATTATAGAACTAGATTATGGAGCTATATTATATAGCTAGATTATAGAGCTAGATTATGGAGCTAGATTATAGAGCTAGATTATAGAGCTAGATTATGGAGCTAGATTATAGAGCTAGATTATGGAGCTAGATTATGGAGCTAGATAATAGAGCTAGATAATAGAGCTAGATTATAGAGATAGATTATGGAGCTAGATATTAGAGCTAGATTATGGAGCTAGATTATAGAGCTAGATTATAGAGCTAGATTATGGAGCTAGATTATGGAGATAGATTATGGAGATAGATTATAGAGCTAGATTATGGAGCTAGATTATAGAGCTAGATTATGGAGCTAGATTATGGAGCTAGATTATAGAGCTAGATTATGGAGCTAAATTATAGAGCTATATTATAGAGCTATATAATAGAGCTAGATTATAGAGATAGATTATAGAGATAGATTAAGGAGCTAGATTATGGAGCTAGATAATAGAGCTAGATAATAGAGCTAGATTATGGAGCTAGATTAAGGAGCTAGATAATAGAGCTAGATAATAGAGCTAGATTATGGAGCTAGATAATAGAGCTGGATTATGGAGCTAGATTATAGAGCTATATTATGGAGCTAGATTATAGAGCTATATTATGGAGCTAGATTATGGAGCTAGATTATAGAGCTAGATTATGGAGCTAAATTATAGAGCTAGATTATGGAGCTAGATTATAGAGCTATATAATAGAGCTAGATTATAGAGCTAGATTATAGAGCTAGATTATAGAGCTAGATTACGGAGCTAGATTAAGGAGCTAGATTATGGAGCTAGATAATAGAGCTAGATTATAGAGCTAGATTACGAAGCTAGATAATAGAGCTAGATTATAGAGCTATATAATAGAGTTAGATTATAGAGCTAGATTATAGAGATAGATTATGGAGCTAGGCTATGGAGCTAGATTATAGAGCTAGATTATGGAGCTAGATTATAGAGCTATATAATAGAGCTAGATTATAGAGCTAGATAATGGAGCTAGATTATAGAGCTAGATTATAGAGCTAGATTATAGAGATAGATTATGGAGCTAGACTATGGAGCTAGATTATAGAGCTAGATTATGGAGCTAGATTATAGAGCTATATAATAGAGCTATATTATAGAGCTAGATTATGGAGATAGATAATAGAGCTAGATTATAGAGCTAGATTATGGAGCTAGATAATAGAGCTAGTTTATGGAGCTAGACTATGGAGCTAGATTATAGAGCTAGATTATGGAGCTAGATTATGGAGCTAGATTATGGAGATAATAGTCGCGCGTGGTCATGTACCAAGCACGGACCATAGACTATAGAGCTATATAATAGAGCTAGATTATAGAGCTAGATTATAGAGCTATATTATAGAGATAGATTATAGAGCTAGATTATGGATCTAGATTATAGAGCTATATAATAGAGCTAGATTATGGAGCTAGATTATAGAGCTAGATTATAGAGCTAGATTATAGAGCTAGATTATGGAGCTAGACTATGGAGCTAGACTATGGAGCTAGATTATAGAGCTAGATTATGGAGCTAGATTATAGAGCTATATAATAGAGCTAGATTATAGAGATAGATTATGGAGATAGATAATAGAGCTAGATTATAGAGCTAGATTATGGAGCTAGATAATAGAGCTAGATTATGGAGCTAGACTATGGAGCTAGATTATACAGCTAGATTATGGAGCTAGATAATAGAGCTAGATTATGGAGCTAGACTATGGAGCTAGATTATGGAGCTAGATTATGGAGCTAGATTATGGAGCTAGATTATGGAGCTAGATTATGGAGATAATAGTTGCGCGTGGTCATGTACCAAGCGCGGACCATAGACGCGCGTGGTCATGTACCGAGCGCGGACCATAGACGTGCGTGGTCATGGACCGAGCGCGGACCATAGACGTGCGTGGTCATGGACCGAGCGCGGACCATAGACGTGCGTGGTCATGGACCGAGCGCGGACCATAGACGGCGTACAGAACCACAGTGCGGGTCTTGCCTGTCTCCTCGTCTCTTCCCCGTCTCTCCCCCATGTCTCCCCCAAGTCTCCACACGAAGCGCAGCCAAAACTCATAAATAAAGCTCAGGTACCTACATTTTCGCTTGCAGTGAAAATGCATGTTATTTGTGAACTGAAGAAAAATGTTGTGAACAAATCAAACAGAACAAACCAAAACAGTCTTGTTTTTTATTTTGCTTACTTAAGAAAGAGCCCTGTGAGTCATTATTTGACTTTTTGGGCAGAGAGTGGATTTTTTAAATATTTTTTTCCACATAGTGTCACTTTTTTGCCAATCTCTATTGACTTATTGTATTGAGAAACATTAGTTAGTCCCACTTTATTATTGTTTGTTTTATTACCTTTCCTGTGTGGAAGTTGTATATTCTTTTTATTATTCTACAGAGGGATTATAATAATACACTGCATTTTTATTGATTGCATTTTGGTTGCTCATCCCCGCGGCTTTCTGGACACTTTAAAGTGGACATATTGTGTTTTCAAATAATTGATTTTTACATCTAAATCATTAATTTGTGGCCTATATAAAGCGTAACTGCAATGCCTGGGTCTGAGTCTCATTATTTGTAGCTCCACGGACCTTTCTTCTACACCATTTTTGAGGTGCGTCTTAGAGCAACCTGTTTTGGTGCTGTCTCTTTAAATGCAAATGAGGCGCTTTTGACCACGCCCCCATCCAGGTGACACAGGTTCAACTCCACCCCGAGCGGCCATTTTTGTAGTTACTAAGCACAGATACAATTATCTCATAGAAACTTCTTATTACATCGCAAACATGAAGCAGTCCTTCCTCATTGACTGAAAGCAAATGTTAAGTTTAATTCTTAGTCCAGTCTTATTATCGTCTCTTCTCTTTTTAGCTTTGGGATCCATGCGCACAGTCTATGATGCTCACACGCCGGTTTGTTTACAACAGCGGCCGCCTGGCGCGGGCCTACGTTGCAAGATATGACGCACTACGTTGACAGAAATGTTTAAATTGAATATTACTAGTGCTGTCCAAAATATTGCGTTATTAACGCGTTAACGCAAATCAATATTAACGGCGTCATTTTTTTTATCGCGCAATTAATTTTTTTTATAATTATTTAAAAAAAATAATAATAATAATTATTTTTATTTTTTTTACTTTTTATTGCAGACAAACACATATACAGAAAAAAATAGAAACAAAGAAAAGGACTAGTTCAGATACATTGTAGACAGAGATTACAAACAATATGTAGTTGGAGATACAGGGGGCCAAAGAAGAAACCCAGAAGGGCACATAGGAGGGGGGGGGGGGGGGGGACATGAAGTGGGAGATGGGGGGGAGGGGTTAATAAAAAAGGCAATACAAGCAAACAGTATACAGTCATAGATATACCGAAAGTAAACAGAGAAACAGCATAGAGTATTTACATGAACAAATTTACAAAAAAATTGTTTATCATCATCATAATGACACCATGATGTTTCTATACAGTCTATGGTCTATACCCACACATACACACACACACCCACACCCATAAACACACACACTCCACACACACACACATTGAAGGGGCTTTTTGTTACCAATTATTTATTTTGTCATCCATTTATTGATGATTTTGCATCAAATGTTAGTGTGTAATATAACACTACACATTGTTTTCAATAAAAAAGCAATTGCACACAGCACGCAAATGGGTGACTAATTTGCGATTAATCGCGAGTTAACTATGAAATTCATGCGATTAATCGCGATTAAATATTGTAATCGTTGGACAGCACTAAATATTACTTATGCACAATTTTACAGCATTTAAAAATGTTAAGAACGTTTTTCCTTCTACAGAAGGAAAAAGACACATGCGCCTCCGGAGCCGAAGGTTGCCGACTCCTAGTTTATACAGTATGTGGAAGCAAATACTGTAGAGGATCAGGATATGTGCAGTTTCAACAATAAAATAAAATGCAATAGTCTACATTACAAGAGAGTAATAAACATGTCTCAGAGTGAGGGAGGTGGACACAGACAACACTATTGTTTGTTACAGGGATGAGAATTGGTCAAAAAAGACTGAAATGCATATAGTCAGCCATTTGCTGGCTCTAAATCTGTTTAATTTGTTCACAACATATTACTTTTGGGCTCAAACATGAACTTAATGCAATGCAAAATGTAGGTATCAGAGCTTTATTTAGGGCGTTTAATCGCGCTTCGAGAGGAGAGGGGAGACGCGGACTGTTTCCTGCAGCAGTGTAATTATTGGGTGCACAGATTACTCAAAGACACGCATGGTCCTGTGCGCGTTTATGGGGTTGGGTACATGGCCACGTTGAGGCTGCGCGCTCAGCCACAACACGGTTGTGAGAGACTCTAGAGAGACTAGAGGAAGACCAGAGAACGACCAGAGAGGGAGAGAGACTAGAGGAAGACCAGAGAGAAAGACTACAGAGAGAGATAGTGAGAGACCAGAGAGAGAGAGAGAGACTAGAGGGAGACCAGAGAGAGAGAACAGAGCGAGACCAGAGAGAGACACTAGAGGAAGACCAGAGAGAGACCAGAGAGGGAGAGAGACTAGAGGGAGACCAGAGAGAGAGAAGGAGAGACTAGAGATGCCCATTGAGATTATTCTCTTTTTTTTTAAATGATAGAATATTGTTCCTTAAAGGTGCATCCGTTGCATAATTCATGTTGGAGGGTTTGCCAACTGCTCGTCGTCGCTGGGATCACAGAGGCATTAAATATGAATGTCTGTCTATATAATGTTACAGACTTATAATTCTGGAAAAAAACAGATAATAAAAAGAGTCCAAATGCACCTTTAAACAAATATTACAGATATAGAACCTGTGTGTGTGTTTGAGCCTGTGTGGTTGTCTGAGTGTGTGTATTTGAACCTGTGTGTGTGTTTGAGCGTGTGTGGTTGTCTGGGTGTGTGTATTTGAACCTGTGTGTGTGTGTTTGAGCCTGTGTGGTTGTCTGAGTGTGTGTTTGAGCCTGTGTGGTTGTCTGGGTGTGTGTATCTGAACTTGTGTGTGTGTTTGAGCCTGTGTGGTTGTCTGAGTGTGTGTATTTGAACCTGTGTGTGTGTTTGAGCCTGTGTAGTTGTCTGAGTGTGTGTATTTGAACCTGTGTGTGTGTATGAGCGTGTGTGGTTGTCTGAGTGTGTGTATTTGAACCTGTGTGTGTGTTTGAGCCTGTGTGGTTGTCTGAGTGTGTGTATTTGAACCTGTGTGTGTGTTTGAGCCTGTGTGGTTGTCTGAGTGTGTGTATTTGAACCTGTGTGTGTGTTTGAGCCTGTGTAGTTGTCTGAGTGTGTGTATTTGAACCTGTGTGTGTGTTTGAGCGTGTGTGGTTGTCTGAGTGTGTGTATTTGAACCTGTGTGTGTGTTTGAGCCTGTGTGGTTGTCTGAGTGTGTGTATTTGAACCTGTGTGTGTGTTTGAGCCTGTGTGGTTGTCTGGGTGTGTGTATTTGAACCTGTGTGTGTGTTTGAGCCTGTGTGGTTGTCTGAGTGTGTGTATTTGAACCTATGTGTGTGTATTTGAACCTGTGTGTGTGTTTGAGCCTGTGTTGTTGTCTGGGTGTGTGGATTTGAACCTGTGTGTGTGTTTGAGCCTGTGCTGTTGTCTGGGTGTGTGTACTTGAATCTATGTGTGTGTTTGAGCCTGTGCTGTTGTCTGAGTGTGTGTACTTGAATCTATGTGTGTGTTTGAGCCTGTGCTGTTGTCTGAGTGTGTGTACTTGAATCTATGTGTGTGTTTGAGCCTGTGTGCGTGTCAGACTGTGAGTGGTTTGAAAATGTCTGTATATGGGCATTCGTTACAACCGGGTGACCTACGCATCTGATTGGTCAAACATTCAGGCTAATATACGGATTTACAAACACAACATTAAACTAAAAACCCCATGATCTCCGACAGCGCAAAACCACCGATTTTAATCCAATGTAAGTCGATAGGAGCCAGAGTGAGTTGGAGCAAAACTTCGTCCATGAGCACTTTACTATTGGGCTTCATTGAGCAAGAGGGTTAGCATTGTCCATCTATATACAGTCTATAGTGTGCATGGTGAGTCCAAACCAGATTGCTTTTAAAAAAATTAAAAAAATAAACTGTGAAAAAGAAAGAACGAAGTGAGCACAGAGCGAGTCAGAGAGAGGTGTAGGGTCAGAGAGTGTCTTGTCTGAGTGTGTATGTTTAAGCATGTGTGTGTGTGTGTGTGGTCATATGATATTTTATTGTTACAGCCGTTTTGCTGTAGTTAGTGAGTAAGTAATCTTTATTTATACAGTGTTTTTATCCCAAATCCTCTCAGCTTTGTGTTGTATGGATGAGGGGCTGTGGGATTGTGTTCTGTATAAACTTGTGTTCTACAGGTTTTGAAATATTCAGACATTTAGTGATTGTGGCGACGGATAAGACGGCTGTTGTGGTTCCACTCACGCTCCGGCTCCGTGTCCTCGTCGCTGTCGCTGTCTCTGTGCGTGAAGCCGTGTTTCTGCAGATGTCTCTTGATGCTGAGTCTGGTCCTCTTCAGTCGCCCCTGTCCCTTCAGTTTGGGCTGATCCCCCGAGTCCACCGTGACGACCCCTTTACCGTTCGTGTGAGCCGCAGCGCCCCCTGCAGACGAAAGAGCACTCGCTGCCGCAGCCTGGAGACAGATAAAACACAAAAGTGAGGTTTTAGGTCATTTTTTTCACAATAGTTTGATAGTGAGAGCTACAAAACCTATTTCATTAAGACAAATATTTAGTGCAAAAAGGAGGAAGAAGTCCAGGCTGAAAACTTATTATTCAGGTATGCATACGACTAATTTGACTAACTTTAATCTTTTTTATACAATATGTTTTATGTATATTCACTGTTTTTATGTTTTATTTTCTGTCTTTTAATTGCTTGTGAAGCACTTACGCTGCATAAATTGTGCTTTATAAATGAATTTGATTGATTGATTGAATAAAAGTTTAAATTCTTACCTAAGACTTCAAACAACAAAATAACACATGTCGTTTTTCTTAACAGAAAGGGAGAAGTGTAAAAAATTATACAAATTTAGACCCAAAACATCATCGTCTTCATCATATTTGAAAATGACATCATCTTTTGCATACTTGTAATAAATAGCCCAGTGATTCACTTTTTGACTCTTTGGGCCGAGAGCTGATCTGTCTGCAAAAGCTGATCTAAATATGTGACAGTCGCCAGAAATGAGAACAGTAGTGAGGGAAGAAAACAGTTTTGGAGCAAAGAACTCTTGGTGCAGAGTTAATGTTTTGTGATTTTAACGTTAGATACTGAGATTGTTGTCTATTTTGCAATGAAGAAGGATGAGAACCACTGTACCTGATGTTCACCCCAAGAAAAAGCAGACAACATGCACAAGCACTTTATTTGGGCATAATGTACTTCTGTTTACTGTGCAAATACTGTTTTAGTCCGTGGTCTTTTATGAGTGTTTTATTTTCTATAATTGCATGGATGGGACTGTGAAATATTAAAGTATATTGTTGTGTTGAAGTTGTTCAGATGTTGACAGTGTTTTGTGTGTTTGTGTCCAACAGCACAGTGAGCCTAAGACCCTGAGGAGACAAAAAAGCTGAACCTTGAACCTTCATAGACCAGAGAAAGATGTGAACATACTGTATTCATTGGTTCTTCATCACACTTTTTGGACCCTCAAAGTGGCTCTACCTGGCCTTACTCATTCAGTAAAGAGCAGATATTAAATGCAGGTGTTTCTCCGTGCTGGGGGCTGACCTGGTCGATGTGTGAGAGGGTGACACTTCCCACATCTGTGAGTCTGTGTTCGGGATCGTCCCATCGACCGTAGGCCAAATCGATGCCTCCCACAAACGCCACGGACTGGTCGATGACGATGATCTTCTCATGGTGAGCCCACAGGTACACAGCCGAGGACACATGGTCCGGGTGCCGAATGACCTGCAAGAAAACACCACTTGTTTGCATTCTTTGTTATTATTTGTGTTACTTAAACATGGGTTGTGTGAGATGCTTATGACAGAGAATGTATTTTAATTCTCAGAACAAGCTTAACTCTGTCTTCATATCTTTCAGAGCCTGCCGATACATACAATCATAGCCAGTATGTACAGTAGACGAATAATGCTAACTCGCTAGCTCAATGGGGAAGTGCTCGTGGACGAAGTTTTGCTCCAACTCACTCCAACTCCTATAGACTTACAAATATCATCACCACTATTTAAGTAGCAATACGCAAGATATTCATGTCAAGAGCGGTTTATGAATGCCTTTTGACAAATACTTCTTTAACTGATAACAATGGTTCAGCCGAGATAATCTTGTTATTGTTTTCATTCCAATGTCCCGCCCTCCACCGTTTTACCAATCAGAAAGTCCGTGATCCGGGAGAGTGGGAGAGGCTGCAGTAGCAATAAATTCATACATTATTTTACAAGTAAGAATCAAAGTCTGAGGATGTATAGTATAGAGACGCAGAGTTGTTCAGCCCGCTCATACCACGGTTAAAACACTCACATACTTATCAGAAATACATATACAATTTGTCCCCTACATTCTCCATGTTTGAGGAAAGGGCCGAGAACCAGCAAGAACTCCTTCGCAACTGTTATTACCAAAATGTCAACACAGAGTTTTTCTAAATGTTACTAATTTTTACACATCCCACCGTATAACAAACCTTTACAAGTAACTTTATAATGCAAACTGTGTGAACTGTGTACGGAACCTGTAATTGATTAAACCGAATCAATCAACAATAGTGGGCACTGGAATCCTCACACGCCATGGTCTACAAAAGATTATAAACCAATGTCTAAATTTGCAGAGAATATTATTATGATAAATTACAAAATACATAAAAACGGGCGATACTTTTAAAACTGGGGCACCTAACTTTCAACCCACCAAATAATAGATTATATGCTAAGGGAAAAAAACGTTATTTATAAGCTTTACAGTGTGTGAAATGTATTTGATATCTGTGGTGATGTGAAAGAGAGAGAGAGAGAAAAAGGAGAGAGAGAGAGAGAGAGAGATATACAGACAGATATATAAATAAATGCATTTCCCTCTCACCTTGATGTTTGGATGCAGTCGCACCAGCGTCCTCTTGGTGTACTCTGAGTTCATGCCCAGAGCCAGCTCCACCTCTTTGTACAACATGACAAAAACCTTCACGCCTTGTTGCTATAGAGACAAGAGACATACAGTTAAAATAGCCGTGTGTTTAGATTGTGAGGGGCTGAGCTCATACAATAGACAGCGACAATGTTTTATTCTCACAGCTTTCCGGTTGAGGATACAGTCCAGGCGCCAGCGGTTGCCCTCGACGACCGGTCGCTTCAGGAAAATCTCTGGACTCAACCTGTGTCATTAAGAGACAAAATTATGTCTTAATCTTAATTTCATTATTGTGTGTGAAATATGTACATGTAGGGGCGACAGTGGCTCAGTTGGTAGAGCATTGGCCTTTGAGCCTGAAGGTTGTGGGTTCGAGCCCACCACAAGACCTACTTCACGACTCCCACTGATGACTGCTGCCGCTGTGTCCTTGGGCAAGACACTTAACCCCACTTTGCCTGAAGCCCCCACTGAAAGATCTCAGCTCCTGTGGACTCACCACCTGCAGGAGGATCAGTGAGGGGCTGGTGCTCTGTGTACTGGTGCAGCTCTGACTGCCACCTCCGACCCAGAAATGGATTAAGGGGAAGAAGATGGATGGATGGAAATATGTGCATGTACAGTATATGTACGACCTCTAACCCCATCTTTGATGTATATACCCACCATTTGATGTTTTGTAAACAAAAATACTACAGAGAAAAAGAGAAACCTGGAGAAGTTATCTTTGTGTTTGTGTGTTAAGCGCGTTAACAACATCAGAGGTACTTTGATGAAATAAGTATTAAATGTGGATTATAAATTTTAGTTGTTTTAGGTTTCCTCGCTTGGATTGAACCAAAGCTGGACTAAAGCTAAAGAAGGCTATATCTGATGTATACTGGGACCTCAAACACTCGTTCATATATACTGGGACCTCGAACCCTCGTTCATATACAGTGCCTTGCGAAAGTATTCGGCCCCCTTGAACCTTTCAACATTTCGCCACATTTCAGGCTTCAAACATAAAGATATAAAAATTACATTTTTTGTCAAGAATCAACAACAAGTGGGACACAATCGTAATAATTTAAACTTTAACAAATAAAAAACTGAAAAGTGCGGCGTGCAATATTATTTGGCCCCCTTGCTCTATTACTTTGTAGCGCCACCTTTTGCTGCAATTACAGCTGCAAGTCTCTATCAGTTTTGCACATAGAAAGACTGGAATTCTTGCCCATTCTTCCTTGCAAAACAGCTCGAGCTCAGTGAGGTTGGATGGAGAGCGATTGTGAACAGCAGTCTTCAGCTCTTTCCACAGATTCTCGATTGGATTCAGGTCTGGACTTTGACTTGGCCATTCTAACACCTGGATACGTCTATTTGTGAACCATTCCATTGTAGATTTGGCTTTATGTTTTGGATCATTGTCCTGTTGGAAGATAAATCTCCGTCCCAGTCTCAGGTCTTTTGCAGACTCCAACAGGTTTTCTTCCAGAATGGTCCTGTATTTGGCTCCATCCATCTTCCCATCAATTTTAGCCATCTTCCCTGTCCCTGCTGAAGAAAAGCAGGCCCAAAGCATGATGCTGCCACCACCATGTTTGACAGTGGGGATGGTGTGTTCAGGGTGAGGAGCTGCGTTGCTTTTACGGCAAACATATCGTTTTGCTTTGTGGCCAAAAAGTTTGATTTCGGTTTCATCTGACCAGAGCACCTTCTTCCACATGTTTGGTGTGTCTCCCAGGTGGCTTGTGGCAAACTTTAAACAAGACTTATTATGGATATCTTTGAGAAATGGCTTTCTTCTTGCCACTCTTCCATAAAGGCCAGATTTGTACAGTGCACGACTGATTGTTGTCCTATGGACAGACTCTCCCACCTCAGCTGTAGTTATCTGCAGTTCATCCAGAGTGATCATGGGCCTCTTGGCTGTATCTCTGATCAGTCTTCTCCTTGTTTGAGATAAAAGTTTGGAGGGACGGCCGGGTCTTGGTAGATTTGCAGTGGTCTGATACTCCTTCCCTTTCAATATAATTGCTTGCACAGTGTTCCTTGAGATGTTTAAAGCTTGGGAAATCTTTTTGTATCCAAATCCGGCTTTAAACTTCTCCACAACAGTATCTCGGACCTGCCTGGTGTGTTCCTTTGTCTTCATGGTTCTCTCTGCGCTTTAAACAGAACCCTGAGACTATCAAAGAGCAGGTGCATTTATACAGAGACTTGATTACACACAGGAGCATTCTATTTATCATCATCAGTCATTTAGGACAACATTGGATCATTCAAAGATCCTCACTGAACTTCTGGAGTGAGTTTGCTGCACTGAAAGTAAAGGGGCCGAATAATATTGCACGCCCCACTTTTCAGTTTTTTATTTGTTATAAAAGTTTAAATTATCCAATAAATTCCGTTCCACTTCACGATTGTGTCCCACTTGTTGTTAATTCATGACAAAAAATTAAAATTTTATATCTTTATGTTTGAAGCCTGAAATGTGGCGAAATGTTGAAAGGTTCAAGGGGGCCGAATACTTTCGCAAAGCACTGTATACTGGGACCTTGTTCGGCCTCTAACCCTCACACGCACCAAACCGGTTAACATTAAAACTACATCTTTATCCAGTCTATGATGGGGGGGAAAAGTTAGATACCCCAGCTTTAAGTTTTAAGCAGCATTCACTTGATGGAGAGTGAAGATTCGGACCCCCTGCTTTTAGACGTATGTGGCTGTTGTTGCAAAGGACTTAATACAATGTGTCAAATAGTGACTTCTAATGGATATTTGATGTGTATTAAGAGTAGTTTGATCCCAACAATTTCCAATGAAAGATTCCAAACCATGGCTCTGCCTACGACAGACCCAGTGTAATAAACTCAATGACTCCGGTCTTATCGTGATCTTCTCTCTGCAGTAGCTCGACACTCGTCTGATCGTAGTAGAGCTCTTGTCTCTTGTGTAACCGTATTTTGAGCCTGAGTTTGTAACCGATATATTTGACCAGAAAACTCCCCTTGAACTGACCGCAGCTGCACTCACACACACACACACACACACACAGACCCACCCACACACAGACATACAGTGCCTTGTGAAAGTAATCGGCCCCCTTCAACCTTTCGCCACATTTCAGGCTTCAAACATAAAGCTATAAAAAAATTAAAAAAAAATCATGAATCAACAACAAGTGGGACACAATCGTGAAGTGGAACAAAATTTATTGGATAATTTAAACTTTTTTAACAAATAAAAAATTGAAAAGTGGGGCGTGCAATATTATTCGGCCCCTTTACTTTCAGTAGTCTGGATGAACTGCAGATAACTACCGGAGGTGCATTCTATTTATCATCATCATTTAGGACAACATTGGCTCATTCAAAGATCCTCACTGAACTTCTGGAGTGAGTTTGCCGCACTGAAAGTAAAGGGGTCGAATAATATTGCACGCCCCACTTTTCAGTTTTTTATTTGTTAAAAAAGTTTAAATTATCCAATAAATTCCGTTCCACTTCACGATTTTGTCCCACTTGTTGTTGATTCATGACAAAAAATTAAAATGTTATATCTTTATGTTTGAAGCCTGAAATGTGGCAAAATGTTGAAATGTTCAAGGGGGCCGAATACTTTCGCAAGGCACTGTACACACACAGACACACAAACACGCACAAACATACACAGACACAAACACACGTACACAAATACGCACACACACAAGCACACACACACAACGCAAACGCACACACACAGCCGTAAACGCACAAAAACACACACACACAGAAACACACACACACACACAGAAACACACAGAAACACACACACACACAGGGAGAAAAGCCCTAAAGCCCATTTTCTATTATAAACAGATGGAATTGTTGCAAAAACACATTTCAACTCACATTCAGAAGTCATTTTATTTTCTGAAAAGTAATCTGAGAATATGTCTAAATGCGTTTAACTCGCTCGTTTTATTTTATAGTCTATGGCGTCATGGACCACCGGTACACTTCATATTTACACAAATTAATGATTATTAGCTTAACCAGAATTATTATAGTGAAGAAAAAATACCAGAATTACTGAATTCAGACTTCACTTCAATTGGATCAAATGTGAACGCACCTAAATTAGAATTGTGTAATTGTCCAGTTTTTGATTCTTTCTATTACACCGCACCATGTTAAATATGCTGTTGTTGAATAGGAACATTTCCCACCAGAGGAAGGAAGTCCCCTCTCATTACCTGGATTTAAAAAGGGACCATATGTACTTGTTTTTTTCTTTTTGTGTCCCCAGATAACAGGCCACATGAACTCTTACTACTTATTTTGACCTGTTCAAAAGAAGAAGTAATAGTTCTTATAGAGGGGAGTTGATCTTAATGAAACGATGATATTTGAACATCATGGATCTTGTTCAAACAGATTATCCAATCAGAGAGCAGAATGGGTCTCAGGTTGTTAGGAGAAATTGGTTTGACTAAGTGTAACAATATCTACAAATAAAACTCGGCCACACATTTATTTAGGTAAAAATGAATTTAAAAAAACATTTGTATTACACCTGAGTTTGTTCTGTTTCTGGCTAAACCTCAGCAGGTGGTGTGCATCAGCTTCATAATAGTAACTAGACTAGACCAGTAAGAGTAATTTAACATTTAAAAAACATTTGTTGTCTGTATATATCTTGATAATTACAGAGACATTTATTGTCTCTTTGTCATGGAAAGACTGTGATGTTAACTCCCCCCCTCCCTCCCCCTCCCCACGTTGTTTGATGTATTCTTATTTTTATTTTATTTTATAGGTATGTGTATGTATCTATGTATGTATGTATGTGCGTGTGTATGTATGTGTGTATGTGTATATGTGTATATATGTATGTGTGTATGTGATGTATGTATGTATGTATGTACATGTGTATATATATATATATATATATATATATATATATATATATGTATAATGTATGTATGTATGTATGTATGTGTATATACATGTGTGTATATAATTAAAAAAATAAATTAAAAAAATAACACGAAACACCCATGTTCATTATCAAGATCTCAAAACGTTTATGAGCCAAAATGTACACAAATAATGTATAAAAGTAAACTACTATTGCTGATGGAAACACAGACTTGTTCAGTGTATTCTAGTAAACATACACATCCACAACATATCTCTATTTGATAATTTGTATTATTATTATCAGTATAATCAGCCTCTTCCGTCGTGTATCAGTGAAATCTCGTGTTGTAAACTCACCACCAGTCTGTGATGAAGATCTCCTCTTTGGCCTCTTCCATCGCATCTGCCACGTCCTCCATGTAGGATTTACCGTTCACGTACCTACACACAAACACATGAGGCAGAGTTAGGCCCATGTCCCAGGAGACTATTCTGCAACTAGTTTAAGTCATTGTAAACTCACACATCTGACCAGTCTCGTCCTTAAGTCCTAAAGCCTAGCGTACATCGGACTGGCAACTGATTATATCCGTCGCATGTGAGTTGCTGCCCCGCACACAGACAATCTGACGAAAACGGGCAACTCCTCGTAGCAGACCAGTCTCGGGAATAACAGCGCGTACATCGACAGCAACTGGCCTCAACTACAGTGTGTTTTCTGACATAAACTGTAGAGGGCGCAAGACACACACGTTGTCGGAGCGGAACTGAGGACAACTAGTTGCCGAAAAGCAGAACACGGGCAACTGACTGAAACTGGAGACCGACTGTTTATCTCCAGTTGTAAGAGCGCTCACATCGACCGATTTCAGCAACTGATCATCTCCACCATCGCCTTGCAACTAGTTGTCTCCAGTTTCTCTGTCGATGTACGCTAGGCTTAATAGTAATGCAACCAAAACTAACCATCAGTTTTAATATCATGAAAGTACATTTTTATGGTAAGAAAAAATGGCCGACCTCATAAGACAGAGCTCATAAGAATATCTATTTATAATGTGTAACACCCATATCCATATTGAAATGTTTTTGTAAAGTTCTATTCTCCTGATACCATCTTCAACTCATTTAAACTCACTTCTATGAGTGGATTTGCTTAATAAAGCTTTCTCACTTTTCTCCCACTGTTTTTTTGTTGTTTTTCCCCTCGATGCAGGAGGGTCTAAGGACAGTGATGGTCCGGGACATTTATGGACATCCGTGTCTGGTCCCGCGTCTGGTCCCGCGTCTGGTCCCGCGTCTGGTCCCGCGTCTGGTCCCGCGTCCAGTCCCGCGTCTGGTCCCGCGTCCGGTCCCGCGTCTGGTCTCGTGTGTGGTCCCGTGTCTGGTCCCGCGTCTGGTCCCGCGTCTGGTCCCGCGTCCGGTTCTGCGTCCGGTTCCGCGTCCGGTCCCGTGTCCGGTCTCGTGTCCGGTCCCGTGTCCGGTCCCGTGTCTGGTCCCGTGTCTGGTCCCGTATCTGCGAGTGGTGAGGGCAGTATGGGTGTGTCTCGCTGGAGTAACTCAACACAAACAGAGTGAAAGTAAAGCCGCTCTGCTCCTCACCTGCTTTGCAACGTGACCCGGGTCCAGACAGGCGCTGGGGGTGTCGGCCCATGAATATACAATGTCCTGAACCGGCTGCACACACTCTACTGTACAAGCTAAAAGGTTGTGGTCGAGGTGTACTATACTGTATGGCCCTTGCAGGAAAATGTGGCCAACCATGGACATTGGATACGCTATATAAGCAGATAATTCCATTTACAAGGAGCGTGGTGGGAGAAAGCTGTGTCTCCTACTTTCAGTTTTGCACACGAAAAGGCGTGAAAGTCCAGGTCTGAGGGTCTGAGATTGCAGGGTCATCCCATCAATTCAATTCAATGTAAATTTGTAAAGTCGTGAATCACAACAGCAGCCATCTCAAAGGACTTTATACATTTCACTGAGGCTAGAGTCACGTCTGTGGAAATCCACCTCCTTGGTCTTCCCCGCGTTGATGAGGAGGTGGTGCCAGAGTGTAACAGGGACTAAGCAGAAAGCATACATCCACAGGTAGAGATAGTTACCATTTGGCGGGGATGTTCTCCTCTTGTCGGGCGAACGAGCCGAACCGGTGATCAGTGAGAAAAGCAGAGCCCAGTTTTTTTGCGAAGCCTTCGATGGACTGTCCCCACCAGCGAGCGTGGCGGTAACTACTGCACTTCAGAACCAAGCTCCTGACAAACACAAACAACAACAATATATTATTAAATCGTCACTCTAACAAAGGCCGCAAGTTGCATAAAAGGTCTGTTAAATATAGTCTGGATTTGTGAAGTGGTCAAAAGTCCATGTAAGAAAGAGCCCTGGATATGAAAATGCATGAGAAAACTAGTGATAAAAGAAAACCATTTTGATAGTGAGGAATTAGAGATTTTATGGCACAGTTCATTATTTGATCCTTTGACAGTGAGTCCAGCTTTAACCCGTTCTCTGAGGCTCAGACCTGGAGAGGCTGTCGATGCGGACGCCGTGTCTCGTCTCTGTGTCTTTAGAATCCATTTTGATGTTGAACTCTTTGTCGAAGAGCATCACAAAAGAGATGGCCCCGGTGTCCGGCTTCATGTAGAGAAGGAACGAGTCTTTCACCACCAGCCACCTGACAGAACCAACCGACAGATACGTCAGGAATAATGAAATATAATAATAATAACAATAATAATAATGAAAATAATAATAATAATAATAACATATCAGCCATGAGACTTTCACAAGTGGAGACTGACACCAGGGCTGCACCATTTTGGTCAAATATCTAATCGCTGCCCAACGTTGCAGTGGGATTTTCAATAATAAAAACAGTGCCGCTGGGAAAAGTGTACATAAGAAGTCCATGCATTTCAGAAAATGTTTACCACAATTTGAATCAAGTTTAAACATAAAATGTATTAACAATAATAAATTAATCATGTTTTATAAACAATAATCACTTTGTTGAAGTTGTTATAAGACGTTTTTGTTTTGTGCGCATAAGAGAGAAGTTCCTCACAAGCAAACACACACATGCACACACACACACACACACACGCACACACACACACACAGTGATCACTGACCGTTTGGACCAGTGGTAGCAGATCTCGCTCCTCCCACAGCAGTTCAGTCCTGGGATGCGGTGTCCTCCAGACCTCTTCAGCACCATCCCTTCACTGCAGCACAAACAACTGTCCTGCATCTGTTTGGCTCATGTGTTGGTTATAACTGAGTTTGTGAGTGCGTCTCTTACAGGCCTTTGGGTCCGAGGTCGTGGATGAATGAAAGCTGGCTCACTTCAATGAACTCCATCTGAAATAGTCCAATAGGTTTTTAGAATTGTTTTAAAATATAACATTGAGAATAACAGAATAATGTGTCCTACCGTCCCATGGTAGTTTCTGTACATGGGCATCTTCAGCAACTTGTTCAAGTAATCTTCCAGTTGTTTCTGAAGAGATACATGACAACAAGTGTTTAATCAGCAGCCTCTACTCAGTTCAAAGAGTATAGTTGGCAGTGGCTTTCAATTAAAGCTGGGGTACCTAACTACAGTCATCATTTTTGTTTGTTCCAACAGTAATAGATTTGTATGTTGTAACAAATCTGACCTTTTGTCACAAAACAAAACAGTATTCTGGTTTGGGCTGATCGGCTGAATGAGGGTGGCTCTCTTTTTCACTTTTCTGTCTTAAAAATCCAATTTAAAGACGTGAAAGAGGCAAACTAGAGCAGGGAAGTAACTTGTTAGATGGATTTTATTACATAGTTCATGTTCTATGCATTATATAATTAGGTATCCCAGCTTTAATGGAGACATAATTTGGTAATCTGATAACGTGTTTGCTTCTCTATGGTTCCAGATTGTGGGTTTGGATCGTACACAGATTTTCACTTTGTTTTTACCCTTCGACTGGAGACCTGTCCCTCTCTCTCCAGGGTCTCTCCTCGCGGTAGCTCGGGCATCTGTCTCACTTCGCTCCGAGTCGCGCGGTTTATCATTGTGTGACTGAAGAGCGGAAATCAATTGTTAAACACAGACTTTGCATATGTACTTTATGGTTTTAGCGGCATGAGCTGATACAGGCGAGACAGACTCTGACAATGCTCCAATCCAGGTTCAAAACAGTCCTGTAAAGCTATAACTACAACTGAAGGATTCTGTCTTCACTCTTAATTTACTGCAACTATTTAAAATGTATGTATATTTGGTTTCTTATCTTCTTTTGTTAAGCACGTTGAGTTGCCTTGTGTATAAACTGTGCTTCACAAACAAACTTGCCTTGCCTTTCACCAAGTAATCAATAGTCCAGGATCACGGTCTATGTTGTTTGCCCAGGATCAACGTTTCATTGAGTTAGGACCAGAGTAGAGCTCGGGTTGGGGCTCAGAGGGTTTAGGGTTTAGGGTTAAGGTTAGAGCTAGGGTTTATGAACAATAGAAGGCCATGGCAAATATAGTAGTACAAAAACAAGATAAAATAGAAGTACAAGACACACAATGTTCTTTGATTGTATATCTGCTACGATTGTGTATCCGTTGTTTTAGCTGACTGACGCCTGGGTTTGGCTCTTTCATGATGACGCAAATATGGTTAAGTAAGTGAGTAAGTAATCTTTATTTATATAGCGCTTTTCACAGACCAGAGTCACAAAGCGCTTTACAATTGTGGGCATTTGTCTCCCACTCCACACAGAGAGAGCGGGGTTGCCAGTACAGAGTCAGACCTAGAGGTTAGAGTTATGTTTAGGGTTAAGAAAAGGGCAAAGATTGTAACTTGTAACAGGAATCCTGGACTGGTAATTACTTGGATTGTGTGTTTTAGTGCATCCCTCAATCTGTTAGAGAAAAAGCACATGAAACCCATTCTATCCCAAAGGAAGAACTATAAAGATTCTAGACAAATATTTCACTCCCTCTGGCTCCCGCCCGGCTCACTGGCATGTTCACTGAGAAATGAACCAGTTTTTGCACGGGGGTAACGCAGCGTGACAGGCACAATGTACTCGTAGCTGATATGTGAGCACCTCCATGGAAGGGCTAACCACTCCCTCAGCTCCCCCAACAACAAATGTCAGGCGCCGCTATTGTGCTGAGCAAAGAAAGCAAGATAGATAGAGCTGCAGACGACAGATGCTGACTTTTTATCCAAAGAAATAATTCTGATGTTTTAAGTTAATTTGTGTCAAAATAATCAATTGTTTAGACATATACAGGAGGTAGGACTACGATACAACATGAGGTCTGGTACAGCTGTTGTGTGACCAATACATGCTTGTGTCTGGTTGTATTATTTTGATTAATAAAACAAATACAAATAAAAACATAGGAAAATGTGAGCCAATGTTTGTTGTGAGGTCAAAACGTCCAAGGACTTCACTGAGAGAAAAGATTACAACATTGTTCCTCTATATGTGACCAACCATCATCAAGTTTGAGAGGGTTAAGGTTAAATTGTATATCGCTGCTCCTTAACTACTTTTGAATGCCCCGATGAATAACTCTGAAATTAGGGAATGTATGGTCCCTTGCTTACGTTCTCAAAAAAGATAAATCTGGTCTACTTTGCCACATTCACATTTCTCCAAACGACTGATTCAAATTTTTTAACTCTTCTAATAATGCACAATACTTTTTGAAAGAAATATTCCGGTCCAGTTTTAGGGACTTCATCCTGATGCATATGTATGTTGGGCAGAATGCGTGTGTGCAGAATGGTGAGTGTGTGTACCTGCGTTTGGGCAGCGGGATCCTCATGAAGGTCTTGTAGGTCCTGAGGTCACGGTGCAGGTCCACAAAGTGCTTCTCCTTCTTCTTGATGGTCCACGTGAACTCTCCGTGTTTCAGCTCGATCTTGTACACCGCCGGCATCGACTTCACCACAAGAAAACATGTTGTAAATGTGGTGTGACGAGGGTTTTGTATCAGAGAGATATTATACCAAATTATCTTTTTGCCAACGTGGAAACTTTTCAGCCTTTTTAAACAAATACATAGTCTCCCATTTATCTCTGTGCATTTCACTGGGCTGAAACTTTCAAACCACAGACAGTGGACAGTGTCATAGAATCCATGTAACTAGTTCTTGTCTCCCAAAACAGCTTGCTTCTGTCACATGTGCAGGGATTTTGTCCTCTGTCACATCTTTAGATCAGGTTTTTCAGACAGAAAAGTGAAACAGAGAGGACCAGAGAGACCAGTGACTCACAGGGTTTGAGATTTATAGTTTTATACATTATGGTTAATAAAGTTTGGGTTTTTTGTGCGTAAGGCCTTTGACAGTTTTAGAAATGAACTGTGTAAACCTTCTCTCAGATTCAGATTCAGATTCATTTATTTGCCTACCCCAGTGTGCACCAGACAACACACACCAGAGCTCTTGCCACGGCGCAATGCGAAATGCTATGTGTTTATCATGATTGCACATCATAAACACATAGCAGTAATATGTTGACGCTGAAGAAGCATTTCTTAAAGAAATGTCATTTGATTGTAAATAGATTCACAAAGCTGCAATTTTATTCTCATTCCTGATGGTTCTTTCTCCCGGCCATCATTCTGCAAATGTTTTTAAATACCACTGCCACCACAGACGTCTTTATGAGAAAATAGTTAGACCATAGTAATTATTTTACCTTATGACTGATTTTGTTTCATGTGGATTGGCTCAGGACTTAGAGAAATTAGCTCTAAACTAGGACTAGTGGTCTGACTTTTGGCTGTGACCATAAATACAAGGAACATTTTCTCAGCTTTCCCCACTACCATTTAAAGCATAGGGTCTTTGGAATGGATGGATTTCATCTCTGCTGTTTGCGGACGATGTTGTCCTGTTGGCTCCAACGAACCAGGACCTGCAGCATGCACTGGGACGGTTTGCAGCCGAGTGTGAAGCGGCTGGGATGAGAATCAGCACCTCCAAATCCGAGGCCATGGTGCTCGACCGGAAAAAGGTGCCTTGCCCTCTGCAGGTGGGTGGAGAGGTCCTTCCTCAAGTGGAGGAGTTCAAGTATCTCGGGGTCTTGTTCACGAGTGAGGGAAGGATGGAGCGTGAGATTGAAGGCGGATCGGTGCAGCGTGCGCAGTGATGCGGTCGCTGTATCGGACCGTTGTGGTGAAGAGGGAGCTGAGCCGAAAGGCAAAGCTCTCGATTTACCGGTCAATCTTCGTTCCCTCCCTCACCTATGGTCATGAGCTTTGGGTAATGACCGAAAGAACGAGATCGCGGATACAAGCGGTCGAAATGAGCTTCCTCCGCAGAGTGGCTGCTCCCTTAGAGATAGGGTGAAGAGCTCAGTCACACGGGAGGAGCTCGGAGTAGAACCGCTGCTTCTCCACGTCGAGAGGAACCAGTTGAGGTGGCTCGGGCATCTGTTCCGGATGCCTCCTGGACGCCTCCCTGGGGAGGTGTTCCGGGCACGTCCCACCGGGAGGAGGCCCCGCGGAAGACCCAGGACACGCTGGAGGGACTATGTCTCTCAGCTGGCCTGGGAACGCCTTGGGGTCCCCCCGGACGAGCTGGAGGAAGTGTGTGTGGATAGGGAAGTCTGGGCGTCTCTGCTTAGACTGCTGCCCCCGCGACCCGGCAACGGATAAAGCGGAAGAAAATGGATGGATGGATGGATGGTCTTTGGAATGTTGTGATGTCACACACACACACAGCTGATCGCAGATACCCCTCACCTTGCTGACGCTCCTCTGTGTGGTCAGGTTGAAGCGGTCCTGAGCCGAAGTGAAGCGCTCCACGTCCAGGATCTTGGCGGTGATGGGTGGAGTCAGGAACACTTTGGCCTCTGGCTCTTTGAAGCCCACGGTGTGATAGACCGCAGAGAACGGCAGGTGTTCCGCTGAAGAGAGAGGGACAAGGGTTTTTGACTTAGGACAAACATCAAGAATATACAAGGAATCAGATTCCTCATGACAATATTGTTTGTACTTAGCATTAATATAAAAGGTTCTGTCTACTTTTGTTTTGTTTTGTCCATACATACTCTTTAAAATACAGCTGCAGAGGACACAGCGCTGAGGGGCTGCAGGTTTTCATTCCAACAAAGCAGGAGCACACCAGATAACACTCGTTCAATCCCATCTTCAGGTTAAGACTGGACTGACTGGATGAGTTTGAGGTGCTCCTGCTTGGTTGGAATGAAAACCTGCAGCCACACTGGACCTTTGAGGACTGGTCTGACACCCTCGGTCTAAAGAATCATCCATCCATTTACTTTTTTAGTCAATATACAGAAAAATGGACTAGATTGATAACACACATAAATCAATACTCAGCGAGAGTGAAAGTAACGTTTGCTTTTGAAGTAGGGCTGTCAAACGATTACATTTTTTTAGTTGATTAATTGCATAGTAATGGTGAGTTAACTCACGATTAATCGCATGTTTAACATTCTATTTCAAATCCACTCCAATTGAAGTTAAATGAGATTATCAAATATAATTACCAGTATTGGGTAAATTACTTTGAAAAAGTAATTAGTTATAGTTACTTGGTACTTCTTCCAAAAAGTAATTGACTTACTGACTGAGTTACTCCACTATAAAAGTAACTAGTTACCAGTAAAAGTAACTATTGCGTGGTACCGAGCTTCAGCTGGCTGTAATTTAGGATAACTTCTAAGTAGATTAATTGCTGCAACAACCCCACCCTATTTTAGTATGATATGTTAGTTTAGGGAACTGTCCTGCAGGCAAACAGGTATAAGACAGGCCAAGGTGCCATTTAATTAAATTGCATTTATTTTTATCCATTGATCAAACAAACAGATTACAAAACTTGCAATTGAAAGAGACTATTTTAAAATAATTAGTTCCCAAAAACACACACGAGCAACATTCGCGCCTGACAGTCAAGAACCAGGGAAAATACAGTGCGCAGAGCGCGCCTGACAGTCAAGAACCAGGGAAAATACAGTGCGCAGAGCGCTGAGTATGTGAACGGAGCAATCGCTTGCTGCTGTTATTATAATAGCTAGATCCATGCTTGCAGCCCGTGCAAAGCTTGCACTCACTCACAGCCGCTAACAACAACCAGAGCGGCCACGGAGGAGGCCATCTCACACGCAGCATTCTGAGTGATATTCTTATGGATAAATGGGCGGGTCATTCGGAAATGCGTTAATGCGTTTAAAAATAAATAACGCGTTAATAAAAACTGTAATTAACGTGAGTTAACGCGATAATTTTGACAGCCCTATTTCGAAGAGATGTACGTTCTCCTGATGTTGCCTACCTGTGTCCGTGCTGTCGTAGTCGCCGTCCCCCATGTCCAGGTCGCGTGTGTCCAGACGCTCCATGATGTCGGTCATGTCGTTGGCCACGAGCTCCAGAGTGCTGGAGCCCTCATTCTGATGCAACATGGCTTCGGCTGGCGCCCCCCGCTGGGCTCAACTGAAACAACACAAACAAAAGATAAAGGTAACACATCTGTTTTGGATTTTACAGACTTAAAATGGACACAAACAGAATTCGTTTTCTCATACCCATCCTCACATCCCAATTATTCCCTATGACGAGTTTGTAAGCGCCTTTAACAGCGTTCAGAGCCCATCCTGCAGTTTTTTAGATTAGCAGAACTCTGTTATATTTGGGCCTCGTCTGGTCCTCCCGGTTCTGCGCAGTGGACAAGCTCCCATGATGCGTCGCGCCAAATACGCATGTGTGGCTCTCATGCACGTGCACAGAGGGGCTGGCTACGCTTTGACCAATCAGAGCTGATCAGAGCAGCAGCAGAGCGGAGTCGGAGCGCGAAGGAAAGGAGCAGAGTTTGTGGCACTAAAGTGTGGATTTAAAGTTCAGGATGACAAGGGACACTAAAATCCCCACAAAATCTAACCTTTATGAAAGCTGTAGGTTCTCTGTCAGCTGAGGTCGAGCTGTTTTAGTTTACATTGAGTTCTATGGGACTTTTTTCTGGGTAGCCCTCGTGAATTTAGTCTGCAGTACCACAGCGCCACCTGTGCCCATGGCTGGGACAGCTGTAAGCTAGTAATACCCCATCCAGTTATTATTATAGATCCATGGATTTGAAGCCAAATTTACAGCGCCAATATCGAAAAATAAACACCAGGATCAAGGTGAGTGTGACAAATGGTTACTGAACTAGAGGAGTTTACTTTTCAATATAAGTCTATAGAAGTCAGAGCAAAACTTTCTCCTTCGGTCTCTTCTCTATTAGGTTTCATTAAGCTAGTGGGTTAGCATCTTCCACATATTTACAGACTATGGATATAACACAATTTGTATGTTAACGGTAATAAGCTGACGGTAATTGCACTGTGTACAAGATTTCTTCATGATGCCAAGAACAAATATTGGTCCAACAAACTGCATCCAAACATTTGCTTTTGTCCATAAGCATTGGTTACTGCGGCACTTGTTAGATTCTTAAAACCTGTGCGTTAAAATGGATGAGTCTGTGAATATAGGTCTCTGTGTGAGAATGTGGGTTAAAGACATTCTATCTGCCTCTGTACAGTAACGGCTAATTAGGCTAACGGCAACAGAACCAGGAAGTCACCACAGGTTAACCTGATAATGCACAAGAGTTTAATCACTGTGGTAAGAGCTGTTTGTAAGAGAATTTCACACGATTGGATCAATTGCAAAAAGTTGGTGTGTTCGAGTAGTACGGGTAAAACCAGAAAGCAGCAGATAAAAGTGTGTGTGTGTCAGAGCATCAGACAGTCCACTCCTATGTGACAGTCCACATTCTTCAGTCTCTCCCATAGACTGTAAATATTAACGGACGTAGTCACGCCTATCTCTGCCGTTCTAACTAATGGGCCAAAAATTGGGCTTTCATGGAGTGATTCAAAATGGCCGCGGGGGCTGGAAAATGTGAAAAAACGCATCTGCGCATGCGTCAGCTGCACAAGCTCCATTCATTTAAACGAGTGACTTCAAAAATTCACAGCGACTAAACTAGACTGGTCCAGAACACACCCCTCAGCATTGACACACATGTGGAACGGAGCTTTGGGCCAAGAAACAACTTTTGGACCATCCTGTAAAGACGTTTTTGAGAGGTAAGAAGATGCTAAATGTTAGCATTGGCTAATTCTTATTCCGGGTCCACCCCCACAGGCCCGGGGTGGTACTGCAGCATGTCAGCGCACGTCACTCCATAGTGTTAGCCTTAATGCAAAAGAGGCCAATTAGAGCTAGCTCATATCTGGATTTACAAAGACAATATCACATAATAAACTCTAGGATCACAGAGAGCGCTAAACTATGGATTTTTCAAGGCCAACACAGTGAGGGCAACACAGTTACTGAGCGAGACAAGTTAACCTTTCAATGCAAGTCACTAGGAACCAGAGTGAGTTGGAGCAAAACTTTGTCCATGAGCACTTCCCATTGGGCTTCATTGAGCTAGGGGGATAGCATGGTCCATTTCTATACAGTAATATAGGGACATACTATAATGGAATAAAAGATGGTAAGGAATGAGAATTGAAGGTACACAATAGTAAGTTATGTAATATGTAAGATTCCCAGAACTCAAAAAATAGCTCTGACCCTGACATCATAGTAGATCGGAGTTAAAAGTTTATAGAGTAGAGCATTTGTTTGTGTAAGCTCTCAGTCGTACAGGGATCAGTCAAAGCAAAGGAAGGCTTCTCACCCATCATCTGTACTTCTTAGCAAGTGTTCCCGACGTTTCGTCCTCAAACCAGCGAACGAAACGCAGGTTTGAGGACGAAACGTCGGAAAACTTGCTAAGAAGTACAGATGATGTGTGAGAATCCTTCCTTTGCTTTTAGTAGAGCATTAGGGCAGAAAAAAACGTGGAGGAAAAGGTCAGGCTCGATATGTAATGGCCTCAAACCCCGCGGACGCTTGATACGGCGCTAAATTATATACAATAGTAATACAATACAATAGTAATAGTAAAAAATAGTTAAAGCTGGGGTACCTAACTTTTCAACCACAAAACTAAATATTAATAATGATAATTATTTGTGGCGCCTCCTATTTGTGAAAGCCATATTTCATGAGACCTCTGAGGCTAAGCAGGGCAGGACCTGGTTAGTACAGTGATGGGAGACCTCTGGGAACACAAGGCGCCACAGTGGGGCGGCTGCGGCTGTAAAGTGCCAAACTGTGGTTGTGTCTTTAGGCAAGACACTTCCCCCACATTAGAGTGAGTCTGGTGTGTGTGAGAATGGTTGGTGGTGGTGGGAGGGGCTGATGGAACAGACTGGTTGGCACGCTTCTGGCAGTATGTCCCAGGGCAGCTGTGGCCACAATAGTGGTTCATTCATTCACTCAAATGCTAATATTAATATTTATGTAAATAATAATGCTTTTTGTACGTTTTTTTTATCTTCAAACTAAAAAACTAAAAAAAGAGAGTGGACCACCCTCACTCAGCCAAGAAGCTCTAACAGTCAAATTGTGACTTACAAGGCAGCATGTTGTGGTCTGATTTGTTCATAACTCTTTCTGTTAGAATAAAGATAATGTTAATGCCGTAGCTTTAAGAGCCACTAATCCATGGTCTGTCCAGATTATCCATATTTTGATAAAAGTTGTTGCAAGCTTCATTCTTTTCAAGGTTTGTGTAAAATTCTCATCTTGCAAACCACAGTCACTGGCCCAAATGTATGAAAGGGAAAGTATGTCCATTGTTTTGTAATCTTCAGTAAGTTTCACTACTACATCCAGAACTATTTCTGGAAAGTCTGTCTACTTTCACTTCCCGTTTCCTCAAACCACATCTGACCAATCACAAGCCACAACAAGAGTAAAGAAAAAACCCCAGTCCCGCATCAGACTGTAACATTCAAATGAAGAACACAAAATACATGCAAATAAGAGTCATGAAAGCAGCAGACCTGATCACACAGAGAAGGGGGACAGCACAAGCAAACTTTCAAAGGTCATTATTTCACAGAGATAAACTCACAAACCCGCTGTAATCTCATGTCTGAAAGTCTTTCTACCGGCCAACATCATGCATCTGTTTTTGAGCATTGTCACCACTTCCAGACACTAAATAAATAGACAATATTTGATATGTACCGACAAAGAAGATGTCAAATGTGAGACACCACTCAACAAGTGCACACTGTCCCAGCAGAATGTTTGCCTTCAGCTGCCCTCCACCCACAATAAACTATAGGCTCTTTGGTATGTTGTGACACAAACCTGTACCTAATGCAAAGAGGTCATCAAATCAGCCGTCTCTTGTGCTTGTGTGCAACCACGACATATAATGCACATACTGTAAGACTGTTCTTTTGTGTGAGTCTATCGGTGAGTGCAGCTCCATATGGGAGAGGTACCAATGTCACGTAAAGCTCAGAAACTCTGTAATTCAGCTTTTTATTTGCTGACATTTGTTCTGGATTGTTTCACATAATTCTGTTAATGGTGCTATTGTATCTTGTGAGATGGTTATTACATATTGTCAATTGAAATTGGAAAGAAAAGGTTCAATATATAACTGGTCTTTGTTAACAATAAGCAAAGAAAGGTCGGGACATAGTTATATAAAAAACAGTTTATAAAAGACAGGCGTTAAGGAGACTGGTGCAGGTAGATAAGAGTTTTGATACTAGTTTTAAATTGGACCAGAATTTTGACACTTTAACCCGATTGCGAGTGACTCCTGTGCGACTGCAACAATGGACGATGAAAGGAGCCTCAGATAAGAGCAGTTCGTCTTGTGTTGATATTGTCCCTGAACCTGTTGTGTGTGTGTGCGATGTTTGCGTGCCGCACATACTCGCAGACAGAGGTGTGTCTGTGTAAACTAGGGCTGAGGTGAAACCGGTGAAACATGGACATGAACTTTATCACGCTCAGAAACACGTGAAGACTCGCACATGTCTTCAGCTCAGAGCCGAGCCTGAAGACAAACAGGACCTTTTTATTTATTACTGCTGTGAAATGAACCAAGAGGATTGAACCTGCGTCTCTCTGCTGTGTATGATGTCACTGTGCCACTATGACATCAATCAGTTTTGGCAATTTATAAAGTTAAATTACGTTATTTGAAGCCGGTATTTCTTAAAAGCATGGTATAGGGCGTGCATTAGTTACCCTTGATACACCATGTATTTTTTACTTAAGAATTATCCTTTGTTTTTTACGGGTTACGTTCTAAAAAACTCTGTATTCAGTGGAAGCCGCGAGATATGTTTGAAGGCTGTAAAACCCCAGACACTTTATCAACCACCTGAACTCACGAGTGCTGAAGCGCGATTGCGGAGATATCAAAACTGTTGGTTGTGGGTCTGAGTGCTGCTGCAACTGTTAAAAGCCGTGCTTACAATGTCAAATACCGCTGCAGAGGACTGAAAACCACGGCACTCCTTTGAACTAATCACTGTGGTGCAAACAAAAATGTTCT